TAGCGCTCTGTCTTAGCGCTCTATCTGGGCCCTGGTGGGCTGTCTTTTTGGGCGTTCCGGAGGCCCCAGGGGTGCGTTGACGAGCTCGTCCCCCCCCCCCCTCCTCCCCAGAATGGCACTTTGGACACCCAGGGGAGGGGTAAAGGGGGAGGGGGACGGCCAAATGTCACACGCCTTTTTCACCCCCGGCAAGTAGGGGTCGGCGGATTTTGCTGTGAATACTCGTCTCTGTGTATTGCATTGCTTTGCGTTGCCTTGGATTTGTCACGGCCCTCATGCATTGAATTCTCGTTTTGAATAGAGCGCTGCGCTCTCCATTCTTCGCCTCCTCCCCCCCTTGCCTCCTCCTCCCCCTCCTGCCTCCTGCTTCCTGTGAGGTCCAGCGGAGTGGGGGGCGCACGCATAACTACATTGCCGTGTTATTATCCTCACACGCGTCCTGCCTGCGCCGCAGCCCCGTTGAGACCTCGCGGCTCCCTGCGGGGGTGCGAAGCGCGAGACTGTCGCCACTTCCGTGGGCTCCTGGGAGGTCCAGCGGGGTGGAGTTAACTGGAACCCAGTTGAGACCTCGGCTCGGTTCCCGGGGGCGGGCTGCAAAGTGTGAGACTGTCGCCACCTCCGTGGGCTCTTGGCAGGTCCGGCGAAGTGGAGTGGTACGGTGACTTAGCTGCGACCTCGCGGCTCCATGGGGGGGAACTGCGAAGTGCGAGGCTGTTGCCATTTTCGTGGGATCCTGGAGGTCTACCGCAGATGAGTGGTACGGGATCCAGTTGAGACCTCACGGCTTCTTTGGCGAGCGAGCGAGAAGCCGTACGCCATCTGGCGCGTGGGCAATTGAAACCGTGCATCGCCAGGGCAAGAAGCTCAGTGTGCAGCGCGGCCGTCAAGCGCAAATTTTGCTGCAAGCTGACGCCACGTTCGTTCGTCTGCCATGTAAGCCACCAGGGCAGAGCCGGAGCCAAAACTACTACCAAGGTGTGCTACGCTACAGCAAAACCCACGTGTTGATTACAAGCCGCCCTCCATCCGTGAACAAGTGCAGGTGTCCAGCTTCAGGATCGTGAGTCGTGAGGAAGTCTCAGTCGAAACGCCCAGCCCGCCCAACCGACACGTCTGGGGGTGCGACAGGGGGAAGCGGTTCGCAAAGAGAGAGGATGGAGGAGGAGGAGAAGGAGGAGGAGGGGGAGGAGGAGGAAAGGGAAGAGAAGAAAGACCTGTGCAAACCCAAGAGTCATCATCAATGTTAACATAATCCCTCCCTCCAGCCAATATCCCTCTTCACAGGCGCCTACAAGGGTTCATTTCTCCTGAGGGAACTGCCTCGTTAGAAGACAACCGCTTGAAGACCTTGAAGCCTGCCAAAACATTATTATCGGGACTCCAACGCCACGGATCAACCTGACTGTTGCGTCTTGACGATTTGGAATCGTGCCCGAACGCCAGTCTTGGACTTCAACACCGCGAATCCACGTAATTACTGCACCCTCATAGTCCTGAATCTTTCATAAGCGCAATTTCTTGTACGCTGGGCATGGGAACCCGTCCAACTCTTGCAACGTTTAAACAAAGAATGCGCGCGGCGCTAAGGCGAGAGCCACATGTTGTAAACGAACCGCCCTCAACCCGTGAAACCCTTGCATTTATTTCAAGGAATGCGCGCAGCGCTAAGGCGAGGGCCACAATTTGAAAACGAACCGCCCTCAATCCGTGAAACCATTGCGCATGTTTAGAGCGAATGCGCGCGGCGCTAAGGCGATAGCCGCATTTTGATAACCACCCGTCCTTAACCAGTGAAGTTTCTGCAACGTGTGAAAATAATGTTCACGGCGCTACGGCGAGAACCACATTTTGAAAACTACCCGCCCTCAATCCGTGAAGCTCTTGTACATGTTTACAACGAGCGTGCGCCGCGCTAAACATTTTGGAAACCACCCGCGCTCAATCCTTGAAACTCTTGCACCTGTTTACGAGGGTGCGCCGCTGGATCTCCCCAAGGGGGGGGGTTGGGACCCCCCCCCCTTCCCCGATCCGTCGTCGGGGACCCCTCCCCTTTCCCGATCCGTCGTCGGGGACCCCCCCCCTCTCCCCCCCTTTCCCGATCCGTCGTCGGGGACCCCCCCCCCCTTTCAAAAGGAGGGGGGGGTCCGATCCCCCCCCCCCCTCCCCCCCTTTTGCCGCCAAATTCGACCCCCCCCCCCTCCTCCCCTTTCGCCACGGCGCCCCCGGCTCCGGAACCCAACCGTTACCACCCCTAGCGCTAGTCCTTACCCTTACCCAAATCCCCAACCTTACCCCCGAACCTTAGACCCTAGACCCAAACAGCGCTCACAACTCACTACGCCTTACTCATTACCCACTATTCGCTACTCACGACTCACTATTCACGACTCACTACTCACTACCCACTACTCACTACCCAATACCCACTACACAGTACTCCCTACTCACTACTCGCTACTTACTATCCACTACTCAATACTCACGACCCACCAAACACAATTCACTACCCACTACGCACTAATCACAAATCACTACCCACGAACCACTATCCACTACTCACTACTCACTACTCAAACTTCATTACTCACTGCGCAATGCCCACGGTTCACTACTCACTACCCACGTACTCGCTACTCCCTACTCACTACACAGTATTCACTAATCGCTACTCCCTACACCTTCCTCTCTACCCAATACGCAACTCGCTACCCACTACTCACTACGCACTACGCTCCCACTACTCCCTACTCAGTACTCCCAACACACTACTCACTACCCAGAACTCAACACAATTCACTACTTACCAAGCACGATGCACTGCCCATTACTCACTAAGCACTCCTCACTACCCACTATTCACTACCCACTACTCACTACTCACTACTCGCTACTCCCTACTCACTATCCACTACTCAGTACTCACTACTTACTAAACACAGTTCACTACCCACTACGCACTAATCTCAAATCACTACCCACTATCCACTACTCACTACTAACAAATCAAACTTCACTACTCACTACCCACAACTCACTACTCACTATCCACGTACTCGCTACTCCCTACTCACTACACAGTACTCACTACTCGCTACTTCCTACACCCTACTCGCCACCCAATACGCACCACTCACTACCCACTATTCACTACGGACTTTTCTCCCACTATCCCTTACTAACTACTCCCAACACACTGCTCACTACGCAGAAGTCAATACTGACTACTCACTCCTTACTAAACACGATTCACAGCCCACTACTCACAAAACACTACTCACTAACCATTAGCCATTATCCAATACTCTCTATTGAGTACTCACTGTTCACTACTGACTACTCACTGCCCACAACTCACTACTCACTATCCGCTGCTCGCAATTCGATACTCCTTACACACATACTCACTACTCACTACTCATTTCTCACTATCCGCTGCTCGCTACTACTCACTACTCACTTCTATCGACGCGCTACGCCCTACTCCCTACTCGCTACCCACTAACCACTAGTCACAAGTCGCTACGCTACTCACTACTCACTATTCAGCACTCACTACTCCATACTCACTACCCACTACGCACTACTCACATTTCACTACGCAATATTCACTACCCCCTTACGCACTACTCGCTACGCACTATCTTCTACTCCCTTGTCAATAGTCACGAGGCACAAGTCGCTACTCACTTCTCACTATCGGTACTCACAACTCACGACTCACTGCTCACTACTCACTACTCGCTACTCTTTACGCACTACCCACTGCCCAATACTCAATACCCACGTCTCATTTTCCACTACTCCCTACTCACACCTCACTACTCGCTACTCACTACTGACTACCCCCTCCTCACCACTCACTACTCACAGTGCCCTATTCGCGGTTCCCTATTCACAATTCGCTACTCCCTACGCGCTACTCACTATTCACTACCCCCTACCCACGATTCACGACTCACTAGTCACTACTCACTGTGCACTATTCACTCCTCATTCCTCACTGCTCGCTACTATCTACTCATTACTCTCTAGTCACTACTCACTACTATCTACTCACTATTCACTATCCCGAGGACAGACCCCCCCCTTGCGGGAGAGGCCCTCTCCCCGGCCCCCTGTTCGGCGCAAAGGGGGGGAGGGGGGGGGTCGAACCCCCACTCCTTTCCAGCGCCAAGGGGGGGAGGGGGTAGGGGGGGGTCAGAACCGCCCCCCCCCTTTCAAAGGGGGGGTGGGGAGGGGGGGGTCGGACCCCCCCCCCTTGAGGAGGGGAGGGGGGGGGGCGAAAAACTCACCCCTCTTTTGAACAGGGGGGAAGGGGGGGGGTCGGACCCCCCCTCTTTTCAATTACAGGGTGATCCAGTGGCGCGCTTGTTTACAACGAATGCGCGCGGTGCTAATTATTTTGAAAACCACCCGCGCTTAATCCGTGTACATGTTTACAACGGATGTGCGCGGTACGAAGACAAATCGTATTTTGAAAACGACCCGCCTTCCAGTTTTTGAAACTGCTGTCAACGTTTTAAGCTTCAGGGTCACACGTGGTGAGGAAGTCTCAGGCGAAACGCCTGGCCCGACCTTCGACCGGTTCCGTGGTGCGACAGGGAGACATTGTGCAGAAGGAAAACAAATGGAGGACGAGGATGAGAGCGGAGAGCGGAGAGCGGAGAGCGGAGAGCGGAGAGCGGAGAGCGAAGAGAGGAGAGAGGAGAGAGGAGAGAGGAGAGGAGGAGAGCAGGAGAGCAGGAGAGGAGGAGAGGAGGAGGAGGAGGAGGAGGAGGAGGAGGAGGAGGAGGAGGAGGAGGAGGAGGAGGAGGGAGGAGGGAGGAGGGAGGAGGCGGGAGGAGGAGGGAGGAGGAGGGAGGAGGAGGAAGAGGAGGAGGAAGAGGAGGAGGAGGAGGAGGGCGGGAGGGAGGGAGGGAGGGAGGGAGGGAGGGAAGAGGGAAGCGGAGAAGGAGGGGGAGGGAGGAGGAGTCGCAGGAGCGGCAAGGGCACATGGAGAGGCGCACCCTTTGCGCGGCCCAGGGCGCTCTGAACTGGCTGCTCTGCTCCGTGTGCGCCGCGGTGGTGTCCGTGGGCCTGGGGCTGGCCATGTGGGAGCAGAAGGCGCGGGCCCAGCCCCGCGGAGCTCCCCCGGCGACAGAGGGGGCCGCGCCCCTCCCGACCCCCCTTCCGAGCTGCAGAAGAGAGGGGCTCGAAGAAGAAAAAGCGCCATGAACATCGACCTGTGGCGCCCCGCGCGGAGCGCCAAAAGTTTGTGTTGATGGCGTTGCTGCTTCTTCTAAAAGGGGGGGGTCGCAGCCCTCCCAGGCGAGAAAGCTCGGAGCCCGCGGACCAGCCACGGGGGGGCGGCCCCGTTGCCCGCTCTCGAGGCCCTCCCAAGGCAGCTCAAATCAGGCCCCCCCCCCCACTAAATCAGACCACTCCCCTTCGATTCTGAAAATTCGGAACATACAGTCGGCCCAGATTGGCAGGTCGGCCATGCCACATCGAGGGTACCACCCTTGCGTCCTGGCCATCCCGACCAGGGCAACCCGCGTCCTTTGGTGCTCAAGGGCCGCGTTGCCGTCGGAAGAGTCTCGTGTCCCCTCGGGTGTCCTGTCCAATCAAGTCTGACTGTATGTATCAGGAGGGAAAGAAGCACACAGACAAAATGAATCGTCGACTCCCAGGAAAATATTGCAACATAGGGGAAGTGGGGGGGGAGGAAGACGAAGACCCAGACTGTATAGGAAAAGATAGGGGAATCCTGTTATCTGTGTGGGTATTGATGTGTGTGCCCCTGGGCCCCCTTGATCGTAAGAGCGACCTTCCGCCAGAGTGACCCACGCTGCGGGGCACGCCTGGGGTCCCCCCGATGTCCGCTGCGGTGCGGCAGCGGCGGCGTGCGCTCCGCTGCGGCCTCCCCGCGGCCCCCGACGGTTGCGCACCGAAAGGTGTAAGTCGGGCCTGTCCCCCCTACAGGAGGGAGATTCTACAGGAGGGAGATTCAAAAATAATAAAAAAAAAAAAAAGTCTGGGGACGAACATTGGTCAAAAAATAGTCAAAAACATTGGGGACGAACATTGGTCAAAAATAGTCAAACATATTAACAAATTGTCGAACATATGCAACACAATACTCAAAACTAGTTGGTTGATTTCTGAACATGTTCGGGTACTTTTTGACTAATGTTCATTCTTCGTCCAAAATCCGCCTGCAGGGGGTCACGCCCGACTTCACAAAAGGTCGCCCCTGCCTGGGGTCACCCGCGTGCAGCCGACGCTCGTCGGGCGTCACGCCGCGGGGGGGCGAGGGGCGACGCACCCAGGCTCCCTCGGATCTTGAACACAATCGCGCCGGGAGGGGTGTCACCATCTTCGGCCCCCGGGGGCCCGCACCAGGTCTCGGGACCGTCAAGAACGCTGCGGAATGAAAAACAGTTGGTCCCCGGGAGTGGGTCGAGAGCCCTGGGGGTCGACGCTGCGGTCGGACCGAGGCATAAGATCGAGGTCGGTTCGGAGAGGGTACAGTGCCGTTTTTTTCATACATGCTCCGCGTGCGGATCATGTATTCCGAAATGCAGGGATCTAGTATTAAAAACAACGATGGGCTCATGCATAAATTTATTTGTAAGTTAATCATGACTTACAAATCCTATGTTTGTGTTTTAAATCTTATTATTAAGAACTGCCCTGTACCCCAAATTACGTCGTGCTGGTTGGATGTTCTTGGGCACCTTGGCGAGGGTGCTCTTGGATGTTCTGTGCGCTGTGGCCGGCGGGGGTCTCGTGTTTTTGAGGGATGTTCTTCTGTCTTGGGCCCGGTTGTCTGAAAAATCTCGGCAGCGAGCGAGGGGGGGAAGTGAGAAGGAGATGGCCTTCTCAGAAGGCTCGGAAGCCCCCCGGCCTTACGAGAAGTCTTCTAAGAATTCCCCGATGACACGGACAATGTCTCGGAAGGCGCGAGGACTTCTGAGAAGTCCCGCCGCCCTCAAAGCAGGCCTTCTCCTTCTCACGTCCCCCCCTCGCTCGCCGCCAGAAAACATTACGTCGGGGGTCTGGGAACGGAGGGCTGAAGACAGGTGCACGTCTCGTGCGCCTCTGGGGCTGCCGCTGCGGCAGGGAGCGCTGCTGCCGGCGCCGGCTGGGGGGCTGCGGTTGCCGCCCAGCAGTGGCTCCAGCCAACCAGCAGAGATCGACAAGGGCGCCCTTGAGGGCGCGAAGTTATTCGCGCTTCGCGGTTCGGCTCCGATTTCTCCTCGTCCTCCTCTTCTCCCCTGGGAGGCGGCGCGAGAGCGCGAAGTTATTCGCACTTCGCGCAGCGCGAAGCGCGAAGTTGGGAGCCCTTAGATCGAAGCAGAACCGATTCTTGGCATCGCTCGGACGTGTGCGTGTTTCTCGGCGACGTCTGGCAGCCGCCGGCCCGCCCGTCAGTGCCCCCTGCCCGTGCCCCCCGCCCCGACGGGAAGCGAGGGTCAGAGCCCCGGATCATCAGGGGTAACTCGGGTCAGGGATAACTCGGGTTCGTTTTTCGGGAATCCAAACCCGAGTTACCCCGGACCCGAGTTACCCCGGATAACTCGGGCGCCCAGAGCCCCGAATCATCAGGGGTAACTCGGGTCAGGGGTAACTCGGGTTTCTTTTTCGGGAATCCAAACCCGAGTTACCCCGGACCCGAGTTACCCCGGATAACTCGGGCGCCCAAGAGGGGGAGAGAGCGCCGGTGTCAGAGGACCCGCGGCGAAAGACTCGAAGAGCTGATATCTTCAGGAGGGAGGAAAGCACACACACAGACACAAGCAAGCGCCGATTCCCCGGAGGAGGTGTGCGAAGCGGGGGGAAGACGAAGATCCAAGAACATGGAAACGTATCGGGAATCCTGGGTTTTTTGTGTGTGACTATTGATTTGTGTGCCCCTGGGCCCCTCGAAACACCTGCATAAGTCCAATGCTTTGGAGGTCCGCGCGGATGCCTGGATTTGGCACCGAGCCCCCCTCGCCTGGCGGCGCCTCCGGCGCTGCCCCTGGTGCGCTCCGCGAGCCAGGGGAGGGGGATCCCCCGTCGACACGGGACGTCCGCGCGGACCTGCCAAAATGATGCTCACGCGCAGAAAACCTTTGTTCGCCAGGGTTACGTCGGGCCTGTCCCTCTACAGGAGGAGTATCCAAGAATAAGCCCCTAAAAATGTATAGGGACGATGTTCCATCATTTTTGAGCATTTTTACAACACGTTTTATTATGTTTTAAGTTAGCCCAGAATCCACCTTTACAGGGACAGGCCCGACCGAGGGGCTGGTTTCCCCCCCAAACGACGACAAGCCTTCGAAAACCCTCCCGAAGCCTTCCAAAAGTCCTTCCAAAGCCCCTTCAGGAGGGGGTTCAGGAGGGTTTTCGGCGGATTGGGAAGGAAACCAGTCCCTAGTGTCAAGTCGGGCGTGTCCCTCTTACAGGAGGAACGTTCAAAAACAGTCAAGACATATAGTCTGGGTGCGATTTTTGGATTCTCTTTGACTGACCATATTCGAGCATTTTTGGACCATCTGTCACTTTTCCGTCAAAATCTGGCTGTGGGAGGACATGCCCGACCTGACCCCATCGGGGGCGGCAAAGAGGGCGGTGATGACTAGGGGGGTGGGGGTGTCATGGCGGTGGCCATGTTATTTTCCCAGATTTCGTGGCGCCTCTTCTTACCTCAATACGTTCCCTGGCCCTTCCCCCCTCGTCCGCGCACATGCCGCCAGCCATGATTTGCACACCCCTCTTGGCCACCCCCGACCCCAGTGAGCCCTGGACTCTGCACTCCAGCGCCGCTCTCCGTTCCGGGGCGACCTGCCGGCGAGCGCGGTCCGCCCGCGCAGGCGGCCGCGAAGGCGCGGGCGGTCGCGCCCGCAGGGGGCGGCTCGTGCCGCCGGCCCCCCCGAGAGAGAGAGAGAGAGGGCCGGCGCGGACGGGAGGGGGGCTTCCAGGGGCAACGATACAGGAGGAGGAGGAGGAGGAGGAGGAGGAGGAGGAGGAGGAGGGGGAAGAGGCGGAGGGGGAAGAGGGGGAGGGGGAAGAGGGGGAGGAGGCGGAGGGAGGAGGGGAGGAGGAGGAGGAGGAGGAGGAGGAGAGCAGGAGGGGGCAGGAGGAGAGGAGGAGGAGGAGGAGAGAGGAGGAGGAGGAGGAGGAGGAGGAGGAGGAGGAGGAGGAGTAAGAGGAGGAGGAGGAGGAGTAAGATGAGGAGGAGGAGGAGGAGGAGGAGGAGGAGGAGGAGTAAGATGAGGAGGAGGAGGAGGGGCTTCTCGGGAGCCCTGAGTCGAAGAAGAAATAACCACGTGAACCTACACTTTCGGCGCTCCGCGCGGACTTCTTGGATCCGCGCTGCGACTCTCCAGCGCCGCCCCTGGCGCGCTCCGCGCGCCAGGGAGGGGAGTCCAGCGCAGGATCCTGCAGGGCCAGGGTCACAGTGATCACAGGGTGTAGGCGCGGGATTCTGCGGGATTTTGCAGTTTCCCTCGTGTTGGCGCAGGTTTGGGAGCAGGATCTTGCAGGATCTTGCAGGATTCTGCAAGGCCTGGCTGACCCGGGTCTGGATTGACCCGGGTCAGAAGAACCCCGAGCTTCCGGGGGGGCAACGATACAGTAGAGGCCTTTCCACCAGAAACCCAACCCTGAGACCCCGGGACGTCCATCGATGTTTGGTGTGGGAACGTCACGCTCTCCGTAGCAAAACCATGGAAACCAAAGAAGCCCAGGGCACCTTGGAGGCAAGCAGGGTGTTTCTTGGCATGGGTATCCGCTGCAGGCGAGGAAAGGCACAGGGGGGGACGCATCGACCCCCAGTCGCCCACTGATCACCGATAGGGGGACCGATGGCCACGACCCGCCAAGGGCGGTGCGGTTTTGTTAGCGGGGGCTTATCGCCGACCCATCGGCGATATGTCGCCGATGCCTGGGCGGTGTCTCGCCAGTGGCCCACTGCAGTCCATCGCAGGCGATTTCTCACACCCCAATCCCCGATTCTTCATCGAAGAATCCAGCCGGTCAGAGAAGGAGGGACACTTGGGGAGACACCACCATTCATTGGGGGGCCATCTGGGCGCACCCGCCGAGAATGGTCGGAGGACGCCGACTGGGGGGGGGGGGGGGGGGGGGCGCAGCGATGGCTGGGGGCGCAGCGAGGGCTGCCGAAAAGAGGCTCTTTGGGCCCATAGGGGGCCACGTGCGAACCCTGCCCCTACCCCCCACGATTTCCGGCCACGCGCAGAGTGGGGTGGGGGGAGGGGGGAGGGCTTCTTAGAAGCACCCTTGCTTCTTAGAAGGCGCGGGCCTTATCTATAGATGTGAGGCCGGCGCCTTCTAAGAAGCAGCCAGCCTCCTTCTAAGAAGCCCTCCCCCCTCCTCCGCCCCCCTGTGCGCGCCGCCAAGATTTCTGAGGGAGAGGGTGGGGTTCACTTTGTTCGGGAGCTCCCGAGCGAAGTGAACCTCACCCTCCCCCTTCAGAAACCGTGTGGGGCGGGGGCAGGGTTCGCACGTGAAGGGGGCTCGCCCCCCCAGTCATTCGCGCCCAGGATTGACGCCCCCCCCTCGTGCAATCTGGGAGCTGGGCCAACAAAAGTCAGCCCGTGTGAGAATCCGCGGCGTCGGGGGCAGGGGTCGACATGTCCTCCGGGCAGCCCCCCTTCTCCCCCCGACCCTAGTTGCCGACATCCCGTGATTCAGGAGGGGAAAAAACACAGGCACGAGGAATCGTCGAGTCCCGGGAAAAGATTGGAAAATATGGGAAGTGGGGGGAAGACGAAAACCCAGACAAAAATATTGAGAAAGATGGGGAATCGTTTGAGTTGTGTCTATTTACTTGTGTGTTCCAGGGAGCCTTCAAACACACAGACACGACTAATCGTCGAGTCCAAGGAAAGTATTTGAACATATGGGAAGTGGGGGGGAAGATGAAAACCCCCAAAAAATATTGGAAAAGATGGGTGATCCTGGGATATGTGTCTATTTATTTGTGTGTCCCAGGGCCCCTTCAAACACACAGTCACGATTAATCATCGAGTCCCAGGAAAACATGGGAAACTATGGGAAGTGGGGGGGAAGACGGAAACCCAGAAACATCCGAGAAAATATGGGGAATCCTGGGAGTTGTGTCTATTTCTTTGTGTGTCCCAGGGCCCCCTTTAGAGATGTCCGCCACATCGTCGCTTCGCATGGCGCGGCCGCGGGCCACTCCCCGGTGGGGTGGGGGCGGCGCGGGGACCGCGCGGCCGCGGCGCGCGGCCGCAGCCCGAAGCCTCCGAGGCCTGCAGGGTTCGCGCGCCCACGCCCCGCGGGAGTCGGCCATCGTCAGGACCCAGATTTTCAGGCAGGCGATCGCAAGCATGGATCAAGGGGGCATGGATTACAGTCGGGGCCCTGAAGAAGGAACCGTTTTCGTTGGGGGGGGGCTCCGCGTTCCTCAAGTGCCTCACAGCTTGCCTCAGGTTTTCCTTGTGCCTTCGATCGGAAATCGAAGTTTAAGTTACGGAAAAAAGGGGCCCCGTTCCTTCTTTAGGGTTCCTTAGGTCAACGCCCCGACTGTAGCGACGGGTCCCGTTTCCATGGGAATTCCCGGATTTCCGCCGCCGAACGAGGCGGCGCTGACCGCATCTCGGGGAGGGCACCTCCCCCGATCCATGGATTTGGCGACCGCGCGCCAAATCCACGGATCGCTGATCCATGTTCTCGCGCCCCCGAGATTTCTGTGTCGGTTCGAGCGAGCCGATCGCAGTCAAGCTTGAGCCGCAGGACGCAAGCGGGACCTGGACCCAACCCAACCCGAAGGCTCAGATTTACCCTCGATTTCCAGTAGGGGGGGTGTCGGGAAACATCGAAAAAACACGTGTGGAACCCTTACCCCCCCCAACCCGAAATTCGGGTCTTCGGGTTGGGTTGGGGTGGTCTGGTAGGTAGTCAAAATGTAGTCGAAGAAGACAAGACCCCCTCGAGGCCCTCCGCGGGCCCTCCGCGAGGATGTCTTGGATCCGCGCTGGGCCCCCCCAAGCGGCGCCTCCTGCGCCGCCCCCGGCGCGCCCGGCGCGCCAGGGAGAGGGGTCCAGCGCAGATCCAAGAAATCCGCGCGGAGCGCCAAGGTTTTGTGTTTATGGCGTGTTTGCATTTCCTAACTCAGTAAAAGAGCATTCGATTGTCCGCCCTCCTTCCTGTTCAAGACCTCCCCTCGCCAGGGTGGGGGGAGCCGGTCAGTGCTTGGGCCCCGAAGCCCCAAACATGGACCCGATGAATTGAGCTAAGTTTGCCGTGGCCAGCGTTTTTCGGGTGGCGGCAATTCTGGTCAGAGGATTGGGGCTAGGGGGAGTCCCCCGGCCCCAGACGACGACGACGACGGCGACGTCGTCGTCGACAACGATGGCGACGACGACGATGGCGACGACGACGACGATGGCGACGCCCACGACGCCCACGACGACGACGGCGACGACGACATGACGACGACGACGACGCCGACGCCGACGACGACGACGACGACGACGCCGCCGACGACGCCGACGACGACGACGACGACGACATGACGACGACGACGACGCCGACGACGACGACGACGACGACGACGACGACGACGACGACGACGACGACGACATGACGACGACGACGACGCCGACGACGACGACACGACGACGACGACGACGACGACGACGACGACGACGACGACGGCGACGGCGACGGCGACGACGTACACATCACTCAGCCAGGCCCCACTAAACCCGGTTCCGCCAACGCCCCGAGAGAGGTGCAGTTCCGGGCCTCCGCCGCCTACATCTTCGGTGTGGCTCTGATGCGCAGCCTGGAGGCGCCCACCGCGCGCCTCCCGCGCCGCGCCTGGACGCCGCCGCCGTGGTGGTGGTCGTCGCTGCGGTCGCCGCCGTGGTCGCGGTCGTGGTCGTGGTCGTCGTCGCCGTCGTCGTCGCCGTCGCCGTCGCCGTCGCCGTCGCCGCTGGTCGTGGTCGTCACCTTCGTCGTCGTCGTCGTCGTCGTTCGGGTTGACCCAAAGGGGGGTCCAGCGACAAGGGGGTGGTGCAATAGATTTGTGGGGTTGCAATACATTTGGGGCGTGCAATAATGTCGGGGCACAAATGTCTTGCTGCACTTTCGCGTGCAATATATTACTTGCAGTACAATGCAATACAATTCTCCGGCGCAATACGTTTGCAATACAGTTGCCCCGAATGTAGTGCACCACCCGCTTTCAGCTGGATCCCCTTTTGGCTCACCCACAGTTGTCGTCGTAGTCGTTGTCGTTGTCGTTGTCGTTCGTCGTGGTCGTCGCCGGTGTCGTCGGCGCAGTTGTCTGCGCTCTTCCCGGCGGATTTCGGGACGTCCCCGCGGCCAGAGGCGGCCAGGCGCAGCGAGAAGAGCTCGGCCGGGCTGGGCCCGGAGAGAGGTCCAGGCGCCCAGGGCAGGGTCAAGGGGCTCGAGGAGGGGGGGAGGAAGATTGCTGCACACTGCCCGCGTCGAGCTCGTGGTTGGCGGTGCCGCCTCGGCACTCCTCGCCCTGCAGCAGCAAGTCTCGACGACGGCCCCAACCGTTTGCGGCGTGAAGTGCCGGAAGATGGGCGCTGTGAAAGAGAGAGGGGCGATCAAACTGCGACTGTCGGCGGCGAGCGAGGGGGGGGGAACTGAGAAGGAGAAGGCCTTTTCAGAAGGCGGCGGGGCTTCTCAGAAGTCTTCCAGCCTTCTGAGGTTTTCTGTTTCTTCGGGGAATGCTTAGAGAACTTCTCAGAAGGCCGGGGGGCTTCCGAGCCTTCTGAGAAGGCCCGCCCTTTCTCTTTTCCTCCCCTCGCTCACCGCCGAGAGTGGCGTACTACATGACCTCTTACTATACGCAATGCTATAGACAGTGCGCCACAAAAAAAGTAATGCGACTCGAGCGATGCGGGCGCTGCCACTGTGGCCTTCAGTGGAGCTCCCTACGGGGCGACGAATCCGGTGAGAGGTGGACGGAATTCGGCGTGGGCACGAATGCGGGTGCTGATATTGAGGCATTTGGCGGAGCTTCCTTTGGGGCCACGAAAATGGTGAGAGAGATGCCGAAAACGGGCGCGGGCACGCATACGGGCGCTGCCACTGGGGCTTTCGTGTGAGAGGAGTGCCGAATTGGGCGCGGGCACGCATGCGGGCGCTTCCGTTGGGGCATTCGGTGGAGCCCCCTGTTGGAGCCACGAAACGTGTGAGAGGTGTGCCGGGCGCGTGCACGCAAGAGGGCATTGCCATTGGTGCATTTTGTGGAGCTCCCTATGGGACCACGAAGCGTGAGGGATGTGGAGTTGGAGGGCAAGGAGGAGGAGGAGGACAACGACTACGACGAAGAGATTGGGGACGAGCCGGGCGGAGGAGCAGCATACATGGTGGAAGAGGAGCAGGGAAATAATAATGATGATGAGGGGGCGGGAGAGAGAACGGAGGGAGAAAGCAAAGGGAGATTCAGGAACGGGGCGGGGCCCAGAATATGAGTGGGGCGCGTTTTTCGCATCCTTTGGAGGAGGTACAATGGGCGAGGAGCCACAGGGATCAAGCGGAGACAATCACTTGGACGGACTGGAAATCTTTTGGGTCATTTGACGCGCCCCACAGCACGCTCAGTTGATTCTGGGCCTGTCCCCAGAGCCCGGAGCCCGTCACCTAAGAGGCCCCACGACCCAGGAATCCGTTTTGTGATTAAATTTAAGCCACCAGTAGGCACATTGGACGTTCATCGGCTTCTCCGAAACCTTGGAATCATTCTTCGACCGACCGAAGAGTTGACAACCCCAGAATCGCCCCACAACCTGAATTGCTTTAGCCCTTGAATTTTTTGTGTCAAACTTGGAGTTCTCTGGGTGCGGGCGGGAGGACGGTGAGCCACTGCATCCCGATCTTGGGATACGGGGCGGTATGCGACGGCGCCGCAAGCCCACAAGCGTACTACGTGCAAGCGCAATGATAATCATGCGCACCGCGCATGCATGAAGGGGCCCCAGGACACACAAATAAATACACACAAATAAAATGTTTCCCCATATTTTCCCATATTTTCTGGGTTTTTGTCTTCCCCCCCACTTCCCATATTTTCCCATATTTTCTGGGGAACCGACGATTAATTGTGTCTGTGTGTTTTTTCTCCTCCTGAATGCAGTGCACCCCTTCCCGGATGTACTGAGTAAGAACACCCCGAGCTTCCCCCAGCCATGCCCGGCCCGTCTTGGAGCCTCGTGGGCTCACGTCGCAGGGGCGTCGTGGAAGCATCTCGGGGCCGCCGTGGAGCCGCCGTGGGGCCCCCTTGGGCCACCCAGGGCCTCTCTGGGCCGCCCTTTCGTAGAAAACACACAGACACAAACAATCGTAGATTCCAGAGACAATGCAGAAGATATCAGAAAGTGGGGGGGAAGACGAAATTCCACAAAAAAAAAAAATATGGAATGGAGGGCATCCTGGGATTTGTGTTTATTTCTTTGTGCGTCCCTGGGCCCCTCCAGCGTTTGCGGTCTCCTGCGGCGGTCGTAGTGCCGCCTCGGGCCCGCACCGGCCCGTCTCGAGGCGGCCCTTGGCCCTGGGCGGGCATGCCGAGGCCCCCGCCCACGTCAAGGCGCCGCGAGGTGTGTCACAGCGCGGCCCTCCAGTGGCCCGGGCCCTGCCTCGAAGAAGAGAGAGCGGCATAAGCAGAATTTTTACAGTCGGGGCCTTGAAGAAGGAACCCTGTTCGTTGGGGAGGGGCTCCGCGTTCCTTACGTGCCTCACAGCTTGCCTCAGGTTTCCCTTCTGTTTCCGATAGGAAATCGAAGTTTACCTTATGGAAAAAAGGTGCCTCGTTCCTTCTTTAGGGTTCCTCAGGTCAACGCCCTGACTGTACGCGCTCCGCGCGGATTTCTTGAATCCGCGCTGGGCCCTCCTCGGAAGCGTCTCTGGCGCCGCCCCTGGCGCGCTCCGCGCGCCAGGGGGAGGGCTCCAGCGCAGATCCAAGAAATGTGCACGGACCTCCAAAAGTTTATGTTTACGGCGTCGTTCCCTTCTACTACAGCCGGACCGAGGTAGAAGATCGAGGTCGGCTCGGGGAGGGTACCCTCATGTTCGTCATGTGTTGCTGACTGTGCTTGTGCATCCTGGGGGAGGGACCCTCGAGTGCTCCTCATTATGACCGGCGGAGGGTCTCGTGTTCTTGAGGAATGTTCTTCAGGAGGGGAAAAAACACACAGACACAATTAATCGTCGATTCCCCAGAAAATATTGGGAAAATATGGGAAGTGGGGGGGAAGACAAAACCCAGAAAATACGAGAAAATATGGGGAATTGTTTTATTTGTGTGTATTTATTTGTGTGTCCCAGGGCCCCTTCATTCTTGAAGAATCTTCTTCTGTCCGAAGTCCGGCTGTACCTTCGTGGCCCGGTCTCTGTGCCGAGTCGCTGTCCGACCGGCCCGTGACCCCAGCAGTCGGGCGCTGCCAGAAGTGGCTCCCTGGCCCCCTGGGCCCCAGCGTTCCCGGGGAGGCGCCGATGCCTTCCAGAGCGCCTGCCCAGAGGGCCCCGTGTCGGGGGCGGACAGAACCCCCAGCGGTGACACGTCGATTAGTGACTTGTCCGTCTTCGGTTCTCGAGACGGCGCCGTGGCCCTTCTTTTCCAGGCTTGCGCCCGCCAGGTTTGGGCCTCAGGCCGTTTTCACCAAACCACGTTTTACCAAAGGGGGGTCTGTCCATTCCCGACCGTGGGCCCCGAAGTGGCGCGGAAAACTGCGCCTTGTGCCAGGGCTGGTTTTTTTTTCCGCTGATCTCGGGGTGCAACCGAAGAACGAACAGCGGCACCGGTCCAGCGCCGATCCAGGCGATCCGCGCGGAGCTCCGAAAGTACATGTGTTTCCGCTGTCCCTTTCTCCCCTGGACAAGGGCCCCTGGAGGCCGAGCGTGTTGCCACGAGACCTGTGGCGATTTGATCTAGACGCGGAGGAGGCCCGGGCACGCCCGCCCGCGGCGCCAGATCGCCTCGCGTACGCTGACGTTGGCCATCTTCGCCAGCCTGACGCATCCGTACGGCCTGTGGTGGATGTTGCTGGTCGACTATGGCGCGAGCCGCCGCCAGCCACCACCAGGAGGGAAACGAGGAGGAGCAGGAGGAGGAGGAGGAGGGGTCTCAACCTTCTCCTCCTCGCTCCTCTTCCTCCTCCTGCTCCTACTGCTCCTCCCCCTCCTCCTCCTCCTGCTCCTCTTCCTCCTCCTCCGCCTGCTCCTCTTCCTCCTCCTCCTCCTCCTCCTCCTCCTCCTTCTCCTCCTCCTCCTGCTCCTGCTCCGCGTTTCTCCTCCTCCTCCCTCCTCCCTCGTCCTCTTCCTCCTCCTCCTCCTCCTCTTCCTCCTCCTCCTCCTCCTCCTCCTCCTCCTCCACATTCCCACTTCCACCCCTCTTCTCCTCCCAACCTTCACGCTCACCCTCCTCACTCTCCTCCCCCTCCTCGTTCTCCTTTCCCATCCTCACTGGGCCCACCGACGAGTTCAAACATTCAAGACCCATATCGTTTCAAGTCCGCCTCCTCCTGCCCCCTCCTCCCCCCTCCTCCTCCCGGCCCTCCCCCCCTTGACACTTCCACAGTATGAATACTATTCTTTCTCCCGCGAAAGTTTTCTGAGAGTGTCCGCACCCCCCCTCCGCATATTGGTTTGTTACACGGTTTGTGCATCCGAGCTTTTTTTGTCCGAGATGTTTCACTTCGATCCATACGCGTCCTGTTCTTTACACCGGATTTGCGCGGACGTGCTTTTCGTGTAGTTTTTTGCCATCCGATAGTTTACGCGTTTCCAAGAATGCTGTTATCGCTGCAGCGTAGGTCTCATGTTCGGATCGGCGCCGTGCTCCCACTGGTAAGAATGGCGCTTTCGCCCCAGCGTGGGCCACTTTCCTGGATCCCGCAGGTCGCGCAGGTCTCACAGGACCCACCAGGCTCGCGGGCCGACCAGCAGGTCCAATTCGTCTGACAGGCTCCACGGGTCGCAGAAATCCCACAGGTGCGCCAGGCCTCGCATGCCCCACAGGCCCAGCAGATCTCGCAGGTCCCATATGCCTCCGCAGGCCCCGCAGGTCCCGCCAGTGCCACGGGTCCCGCAGGCCTCGCAGGTCAGGCAGGTCCGCGTCACACTTCCCGCAGGTCCCACAGGTCGCCCAGGCGTCGCAGAGCTCACAAGCCCCAGAGGCCACAGGCCCCCCCTGGTCGCACGGGGCCCGCAAGTGTTCCCCCTTTTCCGACTGCGCATAGCACAGTGGGCTCTTTTGGTGGAGGCCCTGGTCTGCCACGGAGGTCCTGGTCTGCTATGACGCGCGTCCGCGGATGTATAAAACAAGTCAGCGCAATGGGAAGGGATGGGAGGGGGACTGTGGGTCAGCCATGGCGCGAGCGCACTCATTTTGTCTTCCCCCTTCTCCTCCTCCTCCTCCTCCTCCACCTCCTATCCTCCCCCTCCTCCTCCTCCTCCTCCTCCACCACCACCTCCTCTCCTCCCCCCTGCACCCTTCTCCCCCCTCCCGCCTCCCCCGCCCCCGCTCTCGTTGTTCTGTGAACCCTGGTCGGTCCCTTCCGGGGGTCGGGCCGTCTTCGCGTCGCGGGTGAGGGCGTGGGCCTTGCGAGACCCCTCCTGGGTCTCGGAAGTGCCGCGCTCCTGTCAGAGCCCTTTTCCTGGGACTCTTGGCAGGGACCTACAGTCAGCGCGCCTAGTAAGGGCGCGCGCCTTCATCTAGGGTAGCCTTGTGTCCTTGCCTCTGCGGCCCGTCCTTTGCCGTTTTCACTGGTCGCCCACCGCCCCAAAAATCCCAACTTCGGCCTCCAAGGGTCTTGGGTCCTTGCCACCCATTCGTCATGCACGTTTTGATTGCATGTCGAAGAACAAGACATGCATACACATAAACGGTCGACGCTCCGCGCGGATTTCATGGATATGCGCTGGACCCCCTTGGAGGCGCCTCCGGCGCCGCTCCTGGCGCGCTCCGCGCGCCAGGGAGGAGGCTCAAGCGCCGATCCAAGAACTCCGCTCGGAGCATCGACAGTTCATGTTTACGCCGCTGCTTCTCCCTCCACTAATGCATCGGGCCCAGCTCGCAGGAGGTCGTGGGCGAAGAACGTGTTCGCATCCGTGGCCTCGCGGGCCGCGCCTTTGGGCCGCGCTCCCGCGGATACCTACGGAGCGTGGTTCCGCGGATGCCTTTGCGCGGACCCTCTCCGTGCGGCCGCGTGTCCGCGGGTATTACGACGGCCACGCGCGGCGGGGGGTATAGGGGGAGGGGGGGAGGCTTCTTAGAAGCACCCTTGCTTCTTGGAGGGCACAGGCCTTGTCTGCAGATGTAAGGCTGGCGCCCTCCAAAGAGCAGCCCTGCTTCCAAGAAGTTGTCCTTCCTCCCCCTAATTACCCCCCTGGGGGCGCCGCCAATCAATGCCCCAGCATTCGGACCTCGACGGCGTGGTGCGGATCGTGCACGGCTCTTCCCGCATTCATCCAGTTGCGTTGCTGCCGCGCGTGTCCTGCCCCCTCCGTCCCCAGCGTCACGCCTCCTCTTTCTCGGCAATGCCCTACTTCCCCCCTTTTCCTCCTCTTCCTTTTCCTCCTCCTTTTCCTCCTCCTCCTCCTCCCTTCGATCGCTGTCATCCTCGCTCCTCGAAGAAAAAGAAGAAGAAGGAGAAGAGAAATAGTAATAACAACTGAATAGACATAAACCTCTAGAGCTCCGCGCGAATGTCTGGGATCGACGCTGGCGCGGGCCTCCGGAAGCTTGTGGTCACCTTTGCTCTTCTTCTGCATCGAGGTCCTCCTCGCTCCTCCCTTCCACATCGCTCAACCTGCCCTCCGTCGTGTCGCTTGCCCCGGTGCTTCCCCCGTCCAGGGCTCTTCTGTATCGAGATCCTCCTCCTCGCTTCTCCCTCCCCCCTCGCTCAACCTGCCCTCCCTCTTGTCGCTTGCCCCAGTGCCTCCCCCGTCCAGGGCCTGGCCAGGATGGGGCAGGGGGTGGAGGGACCGACGAGGGGAAGAGCGCGAGAGAACCAGTCAGGGGACAGGGATCCATCCACAACCACCGCCTTGGGGATCGAGGCTCGGGGGCTCTGGCGGTGCTTACGGATCAATCCCCGCCTCGCAAGGTTTAAAGAAACAAATGAACATATGTTTGTTTTTATGTTTGTGTCGTTGTTGCTGTTGTTGCTGTTGCTCTTGTTGCTTTTTTGTTTGTTCTATATTTAATCGCTTCGCTCATTCCGCCGGCCCATAATGTCGCACCGTGGTCGCCTGTCCGAGTGGTCGTTTGCAGTGTGGAGCTGCGGCGTCGGGAGCTGTGTAGTGTTGGGGGCGTTCTTGGGGCCCTCTTGGGGCATCTTGGATGCTTCTTGGGCCATCTTGGAGACGTCTTGGGCCGTCCGGAGGCCATCTTGGGCGTCGTGGAGCGATCTTCGGGCGTCTCGGACCTCTCTTGGACCGTGTTGGGCGCGTTCTTGGGGCCCTCTTGGGCCGTCTTGGAGGTCTCTGGGGCCGTCTTGGAGCCGTCTTGGGCCGTCTTGGGGCTCTTTTGAGGGCCTCTTGGGCCCTCTTGGGGCGATCTTGGAGGCCTCTTGAGCCGTTTAGGGGCGTCGGGAACCGAAATGGTTGAAACGCCCAAATCTGTCCAAAACCTAAGAAAACGCCCAAATCTGTCCAACACCAAAGGAAAAGCACAGGTTTTGCCTCTTGGGGCACTCTTGGTAGTTCTCTTGGAGGTCTCTTGGGGCATCTTGGAGGCTTCTTGGGTCATCTTGGAGACGTCTTGGGCCGTCTGGAGGCCATCTTGGGCGCCGTGGAGCGATCTTCGGGCGTCTCGGACCTCTCTTGGATTGTGTTGGGGGCCCTCTTGGGCCGTCTTGGAGGCCTCTGGGGCCGTCTTGGAGCCGTCTTGGGCCGTCTTGGGGCCCTTTTGAGGGCCTCTTGGGCCCTCTTGGGGCGATCTTGGAGGCCTTTTGAGCCGTTTAGGGGCGTCGGGGAACCGAAAAGGTTGAAACGCCCAAATCTATCCAAAACCTAAGAAAAAAACATTGATTTTTGCCTCTTGGGGCCCTCTTGGGAGTGCTCCTGGAGGTCTCTTGGGGCATCTTGGAGGCTTGTTGGGTCATCTTGGAGACGTCTTGGGCCGTCTGGAGGCCATCTTGGGCACCGTGGAGCGATCTTCGGGCGTCTCGGACCTCTCTTGGATTGTGTTGGGGGCCTCTTGGGGCCCTCTTGGGGCGATCCTGGAGGATCTGGGGGAGTGTCCCGGGCTCCGCCCGGGGTACTTTTGATCCAGGGACCCCCAGGGGCCGCCCCGCGCGCGCGAACTAGAAATACTGTTTACCAGTTGCCGGAGATCTTAGCACGCCTCTGGCCCGTTGGGCCGGCGAATAGATACAAAAAAGAACTTAGGAGACTGGCTCATTTCCAGGTTGTGCCATTGCCCACGTCTGTCGCAAAGCATACACGGGACGGGCCGTCCTCGCCCGTCAGCAACTCCTCGATGGCTCACGTGGGCCCGCGGCCTCTCCACCGGTGTCGCCGTCCTGCGATGCGCTGGTGCGGCACCCCCCCGTCGCATCGAGTCCGCCTTGCATCGAGGTGCTGCTCCAGGTCCAGCCGGACTGTGACCACGCCTCAAAAAGCGAGCAGAAAGCTTCCAGAAGAAAGCGATACCGAATGCCACTCCCCCTCCCTTGTCGCCGCGGCTGGACTCGCCTCGAACTCTTGGTCAGAACGCACCCCAGGAAAGGTCCGAGGTCCGAGGAGTAGCGGTACGGGTAACCAGCTGCTCACGACAATAATCCCAGGGGGATAATGAAGTTCGGGGGTCTGGCGGGGATAACCAAAGATTTTCCCGGCGAAGGTGATGTTACGATGATGATGTTGATAATGACGATGGCGATGACGATGATGATCTTGGGCGCTCGTGTAACCTGACCGGGAGTCTCGGAGACTCGGAGACTCGGGGAAGCTCGGGCCTGGGCAGTTGCGGGGAGGAGGAGGAGGAGGAGGAGGAGGAGGAGGAGGAAGAGGAGGCGGAGGAGGCGGAGGAGGAGGAGGAGGAGGAGGAGGCGGAGGAGGAGGAGGAAGAGGAGGAGGGGCCACGAACCGTGTGAGGGATGCGCTAAAAAAGTAACTCCAATGCTCTGCCTGCTCGAAAGACGCATGTAACTTCAAAATCCAATCGATCCCCATGGCCCGCAAGCTCTGCCTGGACCAGGATGACATAGTCCTCGGTCCACTGAGAGAAAGAACAGGTCTATATAAAGCCCGTTAAAGGTTGTGCCTGAAAAGGGCGGGTGCCTGTATGCACCGATGAGAAAGGCCACGACGTCCGTGGTGATGGTTGTGCCTGAAAGGCGGGTGCGTATAAAACACCGTGTGGTTCAGAAGCTGACGCCTCGCGCATACGATGTGGTAGGTGTAGACCCGCAACGGGCGAACAGCAGCAGCGGGATGACGAAGTCCGCGGAACCACTGGCCGCCGGCGCGGAATGGTGGTGTAGACCCGCAACGGGGCGAACAGCAGCAGCAGGAAGACCGCGTAACCACTGGCCGCCGGCGCGCGCGGTCTAGGAGTCGAGGACGAGCCGCCCGATGTCATGCCGGCCGGGGATGGTCTCTCCCACGGAATCGCGAGAATCGACCGAGCAGCGCCTCGATGGTGAGAGAGGCGGCGGCTGCCTGTTGAAGGGCGTGGTCCAGTCGACTCGCGCCCCACTCCGGACCCGAGGATGGGTGCGCCCGGGACCAAGCCTGACGCTCCCGGAGGTCTCCCGGAAGCCGGATGCAACGCTCCACGGTATCGCGAAATGAAAGCGCACAGCCCAGGTCGCACTAACCCTCCAGATAGCGCCGCAGAGGATGGGAGCGGAGCGCGTGCCCCGCGAATTGTGATGTAAGCGATGGTGGTAGCGCCGTCGCGAGAGTAGTCAAAGTCCACGATGTGCGCGGTGTTCGTTGTGCCTGAACGGCGGGGTGACTGTGTCACCCGAGTAGCTGAGAAGTGAACTCGAAGGCGTATGCGACGAGCCTCACCTCACAGCGGCCAAAGGCGCCATGGGCGCGCCGGCGCCCAGCCCGGAAGCGCGGCGGGCGGCCTCCATGGGACGCGCCGCGGCGCGCGGGCCTTGAGCCAACCCCTTGAGCCAAGGGTCCCTCTTGAGCCAAGGATCCCCATGGCCCTGCCACACGTTCCTAACTCGGGAACGGCTGAGAAAGTGAGAATCCCATGGCCTTGCCGCACGTTCGTGATTTGGGAAAACTGGCATGGTGAGAATCCCATAGCCCTGCCGCACGCTCGTGATTGCAGAAGCTGAAATGGTGAGACTCAGCGTTTTTGATGCTGTTGCTAATCAACATAAGATAATTGCAACTTCGGTTCGCAACTTCCCCCAGGGATTATCAAGTTCGGCCTCCGCGCCCTTTCCACAATTAAACCCTATTGACACGGGATAGAAATGCTAGAGGAGGTGAAGGGGGGGATGATGTATTATCGGGGGTTGGGGTTATCCTCTTGTTCCCCGAAATGTTCTTGGTGGGGCGCGTCATGGACCGCCCTCCAGCCAAGGGTCCATGTCTATCTAGTTCGACAGCGATTCTGCCTGGCCCGATCCTGTTCGAGTTCAACATTTCTGTCGATGGGGTGCGGCCCGATGCTCGGATGGGCAGGTTGTGCGTCCTGGCGCAGCCGATTCCATTCGATCTCGTCTCCGTGCCGGTACATCGGAGGTAGACAGACCTCCTACCCTGTCACGTCGATTAGTGGATTGTCCGTTTTCGGTTCTCGAGAGGGCGCCGCGGCCGTTATTTTCCAGGCTTGCGCCCGCCAGGTTTGGGCCCGAGGTCGTTTTCACTAAACCACGTTTTACTGAAGGGAGGTCTGTCCATCCCCGAGTACAGCCCGATCCTACACACGTTCCGATGCGATCTCTTTTCTTGACTCGATTCCACACTGAGTGATCCTGCCAGCCCCCATGTCCCCCCAGCCATCATGCCCCGTGCCCCTCCAGCCACCCCCAAGCCCCCCCCCTTCCCCCCCGACGGCACGGTGGGAAGAGGGGAGCGAGGAGGTGGCAGGGAAGAGGGACGATCAGGAGGGGCGAGGAAGAGAGAGGAGAAGGGGGAAAGAGGAGGCGAACGACAAAGACACTAAACAGGGAAGAAGGGAGAACATGAGCGAAGAGGAAGATGGATAAGAGGAGAAGAGAGAACGAGAGAGGAGGACGGGGGAGGAGTCGGGGGGGGGGGAATTTGGGAGGAACGAAAAGGGATGGAGGATAAAGCAACGAAGAGGAAAGACGTGGGAGGCGGGAAGGGGGGAGGGGAAGAGAGCAGTGAGCAGAGAGCAGTTATAGTTCATTGTGCCCCGCATGCTGGACTATCTTGCTTCTGATTATGATTCTGAATCAGGGGAGTTGGAGCAGGGAGAAGGAGGAGGGTAGGATTCGGAGGGGAGGCGGCGTACGGTCGGACCGAGGTAGAAGATCGAGGTCGGTTCGGGAGGGTACACTCATGTTCTTCGTGGTTGTTGGATGTTCGTGTGCATCCTGGGGTGGGGGTATCCTCGAACGTTCTTCATGTTGGCAGGCGGAGGGTCTCATGGTCTTGAAGGATGCCATTATGTCCTAGGTCTGGCCGTACTATACGAGGAGGCGTGCAGGTGGAGCCGCCCGGGTCCTGGCTAGCACGTGCAGTTGAGCAAATGGGCCGGCGAGTGTTGTTCGGTGGGCTGGCTTTTCTTCTGCATATTGGACATGCACAGTCAAGATACTGAAGTGAGGAGCTTGTTGGGCTCAGAAGGGGTCCTATTTCCGGGCCGTTCGTTGGATCTGCGTCGGGGAGCCAGTTCGTAGCCCAGGCTCGCCGTGGCAAGGAAGAGCTCCTTCGGTTTCTGTTCGGTGGCCCTGCTCGCAGTCACGTTTGTCGCTCCCTCCTCCTCAACCTTCGTTGTTCTCCTCTTCCTCCTCCTCCTCCTCCTCCTCCTCCTCCTCCTCCTCGTCCTCCTCCTCGGGGTCGGGCTGTATGCGTCTGAGTGCTGGGCTGGACGCTGCCATGCCCCCCCCCCCCCCCAGGGGCGGCCGCCCCCTGGGGGCGGGGGACGCAAACCAGAGCGGCACGATCAAGATAGCGAAGAAGCGCGCCGGGCGGACGGCCCCCCGGGGGGCGGGGCAGCTGTGCCCCCGAGCGCCCCCACGGGGCGGGTCGGCGTTCCTTGTCCCGAATCCCTATCCTCATCCGGCCCGTTCCCTCGTCCTACTCCGCCGCCTCCTCTGAGGCCTCTGGCCTCCTCCTTCTCCTCCTCATCATCATCATCCTCTTCCTCATCCTCCTCCTCCCCCTCCTCTCTGCTCATCCTCCCTCTCTACTCATCCTCGCCTCCTTCCTCCCTGCCCTCCTCCCTCGGCCTCACCCCTCCCCTTCCCCGCCCTTCAGACCTCCCGACGCCCTCTCCGAGGTCGCTTGCCCTTCCCCGTGTCGTTCCCCTCCTTCGCCGTCTCTATCTCCAAGGTCTCCTCTGGCCTCCTCCTCCTCCTCCTCCTCCTCCTCCTCCTCCTCCTCCTCCTCCTCCTCCTCGTCCTCCTCCTCCCCTCCTTCCCATCGTACGCAAGAAAGGCAAGCCGAATGAGAAATCGGCTTGGCTTCAGGTGCCCCAAGCCCCAAGGGCAATATGGTGTCTCCCGATGACCCCAGGGACCGACAGAAGCCCTGGGCCACTCTGGGACCCCCAAAGGTCCACGAACACGTTCCCCCAAGATCTCTTATAGCAGCATGCCTTACCGTATGCGTCTGCTGCAGCATACGGCTGGCGTCGCAAAGATGGCGTACGATGGATGGGGCGCCGCCAGTCCGCTTGCTACATGCTGTCCCCCACCTCGGAGACAGCGTGCACCGACGAGGCCCTGGCAGGGGGACAGCGTCCACCGACGAGGCCCTCGCGGGGAGCTCGCCCCACGAGGACAGCGTGCCACCTCGAGGATGGCGTGCCACCAGCGAGGCCCTCGTGGGGGGACGGCGTGCGCAGAAGCGGCCCTCGCGGGGGGATCGCCCCGCGAGGACGGCGTGCCCTTCGGGGATCGATGGCGCACGCTGCCTTCGCGGCGCCAGCCGCAACGACTGCGGGCCCCGCCCGCAGTGTGCCGTGCCGTGGCCGCTCGACCGGCAACGGCGGGCGATAGGCGGGAGCGCGCCGCGGAGGCTTCTGGCCTCCTCCTCCTCATCATCATCATCATCCTCCTCCTCCTCCTCCCCTCTGCTCGTCCTCCCTTTCTCCTCATCCTCGCCTCCTTCCTCCATGCCCTCCTCCCTCGGCCTCACCCCTCCTCCTCCCTCCTCCCGCGCCCCGCGCCGCCGTGGAGGCGTCATGGTGGGCCTCATAGTCGGGCACCAGTCCGTGCAGTTCACGTACGGCGGGTAGGGGGGGGAGGATGTCCCGAAGGAGGGATGCTCACGCTCGAGTATTCGCCCGAAGAGCAAGGCACGACATTAAAACGTGGTCCTTCGGAGCTTCGCGCCGAATTCTTGGATCTGCGTTGGGCCCCCCTGGCGGCACCTCCGGTGCTGCTCCTGGCGCGGTCCGCGCGCCAGGGAGGGGGGTCAAGTGCCAGTTCGCGTACGGCTGGCATGGGGGGCGGGGGGGCCCGAAGATGAAGCAGCGGCGAGGCGTTTTGGCCTGCCTCTAGGCCTCCCAGAGATTGTTCTGAGAACCTTGAGTGATTTGCACGAGATGTTCTTAGAACATGTCTGGCTGAGACCGTCTTGGTTTCACGCTGTGGCTCTACGCTCTAAGAATATCGCTTCTGTTACAAGAACACTCTTTTTTTCTAAGACTGTTTCGTGGCAGGCTGGAAGGAATGCCAGACAGCCGGTCCTCTCTCAAGAAGGAGTGACGTTCAGTTTCGAGGTGTTCGGGCGTGGTCGTCGGATCTTGGCGGCTCTCCATCCTCGGAGTGCGCTCCCGCGGCTGAGCCTCGCCGCGGGCGTTCCGGGGGCGCCCGGCTCGTTCCGAACGGCCGCCGAGCAGCCGGCGTCCAGAGGCTGTTCCCTTATAGTTTTCATCTTTTCTGTCATCTTGGCATCGCTCGGACGTGTGCATTTTTCCTTCGGCGAGGACGATCGAATAGCATCCTTGATCATTTGGCGGAAAAAAAACACGCACGAAACCGAAAAAAGCACAAGGAATGGACGTCCGAGCGATGGCCAGCCATTCCGCCGGCCCATTGCGCGCCTTGGAAGCCTTTTCGGGCTTCCTGGGAGCCTCTTTCTGGAGCATCTGCTCGAATTGTCGGTGCGTGCTCCCGTTTGGGGGGCCCGTCTTGGGGCCGTTTGGGGGCTCTCCTGGGTTGTGTTGGGCGCCTCTTTGGCCATTTCGAAGCCGTCTCGAGATGTCTTGGGGCTTGCTTGGGGGCATCTTGGGCCGTCTTGGAACTGTCTTGGGGGCCCCTGGGGCCGTCTTGGAGCTTCGGATGCCCGAAAAGGCGATTTCGTGAAAAACATTGAAGAACACATTCAGAATCACTGAATGTTGGCTCTGGGCCCTCTTGGAGCGCTCTTGGGGCTTCTTTGGGGCCGGTTCGGCTATCTTGGACGCATATGTGGGGTTGGAGGATCTAGCCGCATCGCCGATACATCGGCGATGTATCGGCGTGCATCGGCGATGCACCGGCGATGCCGACGACTCATCGGCGATGTCGACGTAAAGCAGATCGGGTTCCACATCGAGCCGCATCGCCGATGCATCGGCGATGCGGCGCGATCCTCCGACCCCATCTACTCCGACCCCATCGAGGAGGCCTAGAGGGTGGCCTCCCAGGTCCGTCTTGGAAGCCATATTGGGCATCTGGGACACATCTTGGACGCACTGAGCGAGAAGGAAGAGGAAGAGGAGGAGGAGGAGGAGGAGGAGGAGGAGGAGGAGGAGGAGAGAATGATGAGGATGCGGAGGATGCCTCTCGATCTCTTCCTGGGGCATGTTGGGCCAAACTTGACTTAGGAGGCCTCTCGGAGGCCTCTTGGCGGTACTTTTGGGACCTCCTGGGGCCTCTTGCGAGCCTCTTGGGGGCTTCTTAGGGCTTTCTGGGGGCCTCTCGGGGCCGAGAACTGAAATGTCCGTTCGGGTGCCTCGTCAGGGCCCGCTCTTGGAGCCCTCTTGGAGGCCTCTTGGGCCGTCTTGGAGGGCTCTTGAGGTATCTTGGGGGCCCTCTTGGAGACGTCTTGGATCGTGTTGGGGCGACCTTGGGGGCCTCTTCGGCCGTCTTGGAACGCGGGTAAGACGAACAGGCGAGGACGCCTAGATTTTTGAACAGCCATAAGAAATCCATTACGTGTTGCCTCTGGGGGCCCTCTTGAGAGGGCTCTGGGTGGCCTCTTGGGGCGTTTGAAAGGCGTCTTGGGCCATCTGACGGCCACATTGGGCGTCTTGGACCGATCGTTTGACGACCGGGAACCCTCTTGGACCGTCTTGGGAGCATTTGGGGTTGGAGCGCCTTGGAGGGCCAGAAGAGCGGCGTCCAGAAGGAAAACCATCTCTGACCCGAACCGGCAGGGGTATTTGTCGGCCGGGTGACCCCAGGGGCCCCCCCGCGCGCGCGAATTACAAATACAGTAAAGCAGTCACCCGAGATCTTAGCATGCCTCTGGCCCGTTGGGCCCGCAAATTCTGGCAAGGTCGCTTGCACGGAGGGGGAGGTTCTGGCGAGACCCGAACGGACATCTGGACGTCACGCAAGTCGGGGCACACTTGCACGCTTCGTCGACCCAGCGTTGCTTGAAAAAGGCCGCGGAGGGGGGGGGAAATAGCATACAAAATAACGGGCATGTGTTCGAGCTGACGGCGCGACCTCGTGCGGACGCGGGCGACGCCCCCGCAGAGGCGGAAGTGAGGGGGGCGGGAGGGGGCGAGGAGGAGCACGGCGGGCCCCTCAGACAGCGTGCTCGTGCGGGTGGCGGCCGACGCGCTGGCCGTGTCCGACCTCGTCGCGCCATGTCGCTGGCGCGGAGCTCGTCCGTCGTGCCGGTCACTGTGGCGCTCGTGTTCCAAGTTCGGCTACACGTAAGTTCGGGCGAAGAGAAATATGCACATGCACCGATCCTGACAACGTCCATCCTTGACCCAGGATCGGTGCATATGCCTTCCTGGCCAAGGTAGGAGGGCATATGCACCGATCCTGGGCTCAGGATGGGTCTGGCCAGAATCGGTGTATGTGCATAGTTCTTTTTCCTCTATAAGTGACCTTGGCCGCGGGCCCATGGGGTTCCCCCGCTCGCCCAACGCGGTAGGCTTGCGTTTGGCCCCCCCGCGGCACCCAAGAGGCCGCGCACCAGGGGTCACTCTTACCCAGGGGCACTCCTTGCGCGTAGCCGGCAGATGTCCCACTCCAGCGGTCCCCCGAGGCTTGGCCGAGGGGCTGATAATCGTGGCCTGACAAGACGGGGCGGCGGCCCCGGCAGCGGGCGCCATGTCGCGGAGCGTTCCACAGCGCGTTCCTCGATCCTTGGCCATGAGGGAGCGAGAAGATTACGGTCGGGGGCCTGAAGAAGGACCCCTTTTGGTTGGGGAGGGGCTCCGCGTTCCTTAAGTGTTTCACAGCTTGCCTCAGGTTTTCCTTATGTTTTCGATAGGAAATCGAAGTTCAACTCATGGAAAAAAGGTGCCTCGTTCCTTATTTAGGGTTCCTTAGCTCAACGCCCCGACTGTAGGTTGTCGGCCGGTACCTCCCCCTTCCTCCCCCTTCTGGATAGCCCGAAAATGCACAACTATCTCCATGGCCCGGGCGGGGCTAGGACGAGGATAGATCCCGTCCAGAGCGCTCTGGAACGCTCTGAGGAGGCCGCGGCGCCCGAGACATCCTCCGGAGCCGCCGGAGCTCAGAGGTTCCCAATTTATCCTCACCCGAATTTATCTTCCGTCCTGGCTTCGTCTCAAGTCGAAGAAGAAAAACGCCATAAGCATACAAACACTTTTGGAGCTCCGCGCGCATCTCGTGGATCCGAGAGTCTTAGATCCGAGAACTCTTCCAGAGCCGCTGGAGCTCAGAGATTCGATGCTGACGATGACGATGACGATGACGAGAACTCTCCCAGAGCCGCTGGAGCTCAGAGGTTCCCGATTCACTCCCGCGCGATGTTGTCCTCGTCCTGGCTTCGTCTCAGGGGGGGGAGGGGGCCAACGGCGCGCGGGGCCTGGACCCGGGCACCTCCCCCGGACCAGCGCGTCAGCCGCGAGAGTCAAGTCGGGCGTGTCCGTCTACAGGAGGAATTGTCCAAAAGAGCCCCCCGAGAAATATAATATTCAGAGTATCAAAAAATAGTTCCAAATATAGTCTGGGGGCGATGTTTTGGCAATTGTTGAGCCATTGTTGGGCATTTTGGGATTATTTGTTTTTCCTCCCAAAATCCGCCTGGAGGAGGACGTGCCCGACCTAACGCGAGAGCTGTTTTTTGGCCGGCTCCAGGGGAGGGCCCCCAGGAGCCAGGACCAAGGGAAGAAAAACCGCCGGGGACGACAACTGGCGTCTACTAGACGGCCGTGGGCGTTTACGAAACTTAGGTCGGGCATGTATTCCTACAGGTGGATTCTGGAGGGAAAATACAAGATACTCCCAAATAGTCCCAACCAAAAAAAACATATTCAAAAATAATCTCCCAAATAAGTCCCCAGGGTATTTGTGGACTATGTTTAAATATTCCTCCTGCAGAGGGACTCGCCCGACTTGATACTTAGCAGCCTTGCCCTGTCCGATTCCTTCCCTGGGTGCGTTTACTAAACGTCTTCGCTTGTCTGGGTGATCACTGTGGGGGGGGGGGGGGATTTTCTGCCCTCTACAGGACGCGGCGAGAAACTTCCCGGGCTCGGCCCCTTGGTGCCAAGTCCAGCCTCCCATACCCTTTTTGCCTCCACCGGGGAGCGCAGCAGGGAGGCCAGCCTTCTGCAGGCCCACAGGCGCTTTGGGGGCCCCCTCCCTCTGCTGAGGTCTCAAGTCACGCCAGGCGCGAGGGACCTTCGCTCCATGTGCTACTTCTCGAAGAATCGGGGATGGACAGACCTCCCTTTAGTAAAACGTGGTTTAGTGAAATCGACCTGAGGCCCGAACCTGGCGGGCGCAAGCCTGGAAAATAACGGCCGCGGCGCCCTCCCGAGAACCGAAAACGGACAATTCACTAATCGACGTGTCACTGTTGGGGGTTCTCTCCGCCCCCGAAGGAAGGAAAAACGACATAAACATAAACTTTCGGTTCCCCGCGCGGATTTCTTGGATCTGCGCCGGGACCCCATGGCGGCGCCTCCGGCGCCAGCCCTGGCGCGCTCCGCGCGCCAGTGCTCTGGGAGGGGGGGGCCCAGCGCGGATCCGAGACATCCGCGCGGACCTCCGGAAGGTTACGGTTATGCGGTCGGTTGTTCTTCCCATTTTCGGCCTTTGTGTAAGTCGGACCCGTCCCTCTACAGGAGGAGTATTCAAACATAGCTATGAAAGAAATGGTCCGGGGAAGATGTTCCGACTATGTTCGGCAATGTTGAAGCATCTTTCTGGCATTTGAATTTGTCCTCCAAAATCCCCCTGTAGGGGGACACGCCCGACCTAAGCCTGGGTCAGCGTGTGCCTCCGCGGCTCTCTGCTCGGGGGGCGGGGTACGGCAGGCCTGTTCGTGGCCCTGCCGCTGGTGCTGGTGAGCCTCGAGCCGCTGGTGTGGCGCTGGGAGGACCCGCCCTCCGGGCGCAGCTCGATCCGAACAATCCGATCCGATTTCGATGTCCGCCGTCTCGGCACGACTCGGTTCCGATCACTGTTCCGACGATCCGGTGGGCCCCGATGTATGCACGGCGCTCTTCCGCACCCCGGCGCAGCCGACGCGATTCGAGTTCGGCTCCGTACGCAGCCCGATCCGTCGCGCATTCCGAGTCGATCCGATCTCTCGGCTCGGTGTTGATCAACCTTGCCACGGCGCGAACACGTGGCAGCCATGAGCCTAATTTCGCGCAGGCCCATGCGATTGTTTCTGTTCAGGGTCCGGCGGTCACCCAGGTTACCGGGCCCGCCCGCCCACCTCCTCCTTTCGGGGGAGCGTAAGACCCGGGTTTGCCAGGACTCGGGTTCACCATCGTTTTTTGACGACCGCGCCTCGGATTTTGACGAGGAGGAGTTTCGTGGGATGTTTGCAGCGGGAGGCCTCGTCAAAATGCAGGCTCGGCCTCGTCATTTTTTTGACGACCTCGTCGGGGATTTCCGAGTCCCCTGTACCCAGGTCTTACGTCCCCTTGATCCTTTCCGGATAGCATGACCTCGTCGGTTGCGCAGGTCCGAAGGGGGCGCGCATTGCCGGTGCGCGCGGGCGCATACGTGGGGCCGCCCAGAGCGAAAAGGTTGGGCCATCGGCCGACACCGCCCCCCTCCTCCATCCGGATAGGCCGAGTTACCGCCGAAGAATACACCTTCGGCGATGCTCAAGAAAACTTATTTTTCGGCCAGACTCTCGATTATTCTTAATGTTTCAATGTAAATCTTACGATTCTAATGGAAACGTTGGGTTTTTATTCAAGTTCTGAGACTATGAATTTCTTAACCCATGATTTCTTAATCATTTCGCAGGGTGTACGTGGGGCCGCCCAGAGCGCAAAGGTCAGGCCATCGGCTGACACCGCCCCCCTCCTCCGTCTGGATAGGCCGAGTCACCGCCGAAGAATACAGGTATCTCCATGGCCCGGACGGGGCCAGGACGAGGAAAAATCCGTCCCAGGGCGTCCTGGAGCGCTCTCCAGAGTGCTATGAGGAGGCCGCGGCGCCCCCGATATCCTCCAGAGCCGCTGGATCTCAGAGATTCCCGATGTGTCCTGACCCGAATTTATCCTCCGCCTTGGCTTAAGAAAAAACGCCATAAACATCAACTTTTGGCGCTCCGCGCGTATTTCCTGGATCCGCGCTGGGCCCCCCCTGGCGGCACTTCAGGCGCCGCCCCTGGCGCGTTCCGCGCGCCAGGGAGGCGGGTCCAGCGCAGATCCAAGAAATCCGCACGGAGCGCCAAAAGTTTATGTTTATGGTTGTTTCTTCTCTTCTTCGATGAAGGGCGCGCCGCAGGCTCGCGCGCGTCCAGGTCCGCGGCGCCGCGGGACGGAGCGCGCCGCCTCCACTTGAGCGAGCAGCCCGCTGGGTCCCGGCCGTCCGCGGCCCGCCTGGCGCGCAGGAGTACCCCTGCAGAGAAGCCAGGGCCTCCCTCGACCACGCCCCCCCCCTTCCTCCTCCTCCTCCTCCTCCTCCTCCTCTCCTCCTCCTCCTCCTCCTCCTCCTCCTCCTCCTCCTCCTCCTCCTCCTCTCCTCCTCCTCCTCCTCCTCCTCCTCCTCCTCCTCCTCCTCCTCCTCCTCCTCCTCCTCCTCCTCCTCCTCTCCTCCCTCCTCCTCCTCCTCCTCCTCCTCCCTCCTCCCCCTCCTCCTCCTCCTCCTCCTCCTCCTCCTCCTCCTCCTCCTCCTCCTCCTCCTCCCTGCCACGGAGCCCCGCCGCGTGGCAAAATGCTCAGTGGCCGCCTGGGGGGCCTCCTGGGCCGCCGCGGGTGCCGCCGCGGGCGCCGCTGGGGGCGTTGGGCCCCCCCGAGGGGCCTCCGTGGCCGCCGCCGAGGCCGCAGAGGCGGTTTGAAACAGTAGTACGACGGTAGACCCCAGCGCCCACCCCGAGAAGGAACACTATTTCTTGGAGCGAGACCCCGGCGCCACGGACACGGTGTCCAAGATATTCGGCGAGCGGAACACCACGGTGGAGCAGACAGCGCTGGACCACCACGAGGTCGAGGGCGAGCAGCGGGGCCACTTCGTCGGGCGTGCCCACGGCTTCCAGAGAGGCTGGGCTCGTACCAAGGCCACTCCAGCACGGGCCCATCTGAGGGACCCGCTGCTGGAGTGGTGGACTATGGTGACCACGCTTCTACGAATGTCCTTGCTACGGACCGGAGTGCGCCAGGCAGAGAGGCTTGCATGCTGCATGCGACGGCAAGTTCGAGGAGCTGCTCGACTCGGCCCAGGAGCTGGAGCTGGAGGCCATGTTCAAGCTGGAACAAGAGGACGTCTGGATCACTTGGCTGGCCGCGGTTAAGCACCTCTCCGAGCAGCCCGACGACGACATCCCGACCCTATGCGAGAGGGCTGAGAGATTCCAGGCGCGCGCCATCGGAGCCAGCCTGGCCAAGTCGAGGCGGTCCTTCCAGCAGTGGGCCACCAACACGTGGGAGCATGCCCTAGGAGTGCCCCATCGGCACGTCAAGCAGCAGGGCGATGCGGTTCAGATCCCGAAGGACGAGCACATCTACAAGTCCAGCAGACCCAGCGGTGATCATGGATCGACGTGTTGACGAGTGGGCGGTTGTCTGTGACGACCACGGTGACGGTTGACCAGATGCTGGATGGCACGGAGATCGCCTGGCGCGTCGCTGCGGAGGAGGCGCTGCCACTCATCCAGCTCGAGCAGCTGGACCGCCCCCCCCCCCGCCCCTCAGCGCGAGGAAGGCGAAGGGCATCGACGTCTTGGACCCGCTGGAGGTCCACCGGCTTCCCGGGGCGGGTCGCGCTGAGCTGGCGACCTTCCTCAACGCGGTCGAAGAGCACGGCTTGCGGCCCAGGCAGATTTTCAGCACCCTGGGCGCAGTGGCCCCCAAGGCCAACGGCGGGGGCCCGCATCCTCGGCCAGCCCCCCTTGGCCATGAAGGCTTGGAGCAAGCTTGAGGCACGGTGATGCCCCAGTGAAGCGAGGAGCTGGGCGAGTCCTGGGACACGGCGATTGCGGGATCGTCGGCGTCGCAGGCGTCGATTCTGAGATCCTGCGTGCACGAGACGGCTAGGACACAGCGGGTGCCATGTGCGACGTTGCTTTTGGATCTCGCCAAATTCTGCGACAGCATCAGCATCCCCATTCTCGCCCGCCGCACGCTGGCTCAACAGTCCCCAGCGATAGCGCGACGCATAAAGCTGCAGATGTCTTTGGCCCCATCGATGCCCGACGGAGAGGTCGTGGCTCAGCAGGCGGACCACCCCGTGGCGATGCCTCGCGGCGGGGTCGCCGAGCAGCGCGCAGCTCGCCGAGGCGGCCCTGGAGCCCTTGCCCCACCGCGCGCAGTTGAACTACCGGGCGCGCATCGGCCTCTGGGCGCGCGCCGACGACGCGGCGACGCGCGCGCGCGGCGCGGCCCCCGCGGCCACGCAGACCGTCGCGGCGAGCGCGACCGAGCTGGGCCACAGCACGCAGGAGGCTGGGCTCGCCATCTCGGAGCAGACGACGGCGGTGGCCAGCGCCGCCCGCCTGGCCGAGGACAGCGCCGCCAGCCTCAAGACGAACGGAACCCCCGCCAAAGCCGCCCGCTTTCGCAACGGGACGCGCGGCAAGCAGAGGATGCAGGGCGCCGCCCGTCGCGCCGAGGCCATCCGTCGCCTGCGGCGCCACTCGCCCCAAGAAGGCGGCGCGCGGGCTCTGGGGCGCAGGCGCCAAGGCCGAGGGCACCCGCGGCCACCAGGCGCACGGCCTGCAGCGCTACGAGGTGCTCAGGCTGCGGGGGCAGGCAGTTCGGGCAGCGGCGGGCAGCGGTCCTGGGCGCTGCCTCACCACGACGCTCGCGGTCGCCTACGGCCGCGCCGACCCGGCGCAGACGATCCCGCGGGGGCAGCTGGCAGCCTGACTGGACCCCTGGTCCCTCTGGTTCTCGCACGCCGAGCTTCACCAAGGGATCGAGAGGTCGCGGGCGAAGATCGCCCCTCGCCTACTGACGGCCGCCGCCGAGAGATGGCGGCTGGTGCGAGGGCCCCCGGCGGCCACGGTGGCGACCCTCCTCGACGCAGGATGGAGCGCCCCTCGCCCCGGCCCCTGGGTCGCCGACCGCAGCTCCGAGCGGCGATTCCCACCGGCGACGAGCCCCGACTTCGGCGACGCGCGCGCCGACTTCCCCGCCGCCCTGAACGAGTTCGAGGAGAGCGTCGACCACAGGCTCAGGGCCGACGCCGCGCTCCACCAGGGCGCCGACGACCTGGCCGAGAGAGGTGCTGACGCGCCCCATGCGCAGAGGAAGCGGCTGCGGTTCTAGGCCGACGGCGGCAACGACCTGCAGGCCCTCCACATGGCCGCCACGACAGGCGGCTAGTTGACCAGGGTTCGCCAGGCCGAGGCGGGCTCCGAGATGGATTCCCAGCTCTGCGCACGACACTTTTCCATCCAATATGGTCGCACGAGCGCGACGTTGATCATCCTGACGGAGATAAGGCCAGTGGCTGAATTCCCATTGCCGAGGCAGGTCATGAGTTGCATCCGTCGCTCTGGCGTCGACGCATCCCGAATAGGAGAACCCCCTTTTCTTCGACCTTGACTTCCCTCCCCGCCGCTTCGACTTCGGCGATTTCTTCTTGGCCCCGAGGGGCCGAGACGGCTACCTCGCGGGCTTTGGCGACGGGTCAGGGGGCAAGCTCTCTGGCGACCCGAGACGGCGACGCGTTGGCTCGGAGGCTGTGGTTCTGGAGGCCCTCTCAGCAGGTGACTGGAACCTCGTCGTTGAGGTCTCGTGCGGCGTCCCCGGAGGTAGGCAGACGGTCCACCGAGAGGAGCTCACGGCTTTCCCTGGGGCCCTCGAGTGCACCCGAGGGCCTCTGCGGTTCGCACACGATCATAAGCCGTTCGTGGAGGGTTGGGCCAGAGGTCGGCGTGAGTCTGCTTCGCTCAGTTTCGGTAGTTCTGACCTCTGGGCCAGGATCGGGATGGCCGCGCGCGTGCGGGGCCCCGACCCATGTCTAGTTTGTTGGGCCCCCTCCCATGTAGAGGCCCAGGACATCAGGTCTGAAAGGGATCTGCGCTGGGCGGTGGTCGGCCGCCCAGGCTCGAGATGGCCCTGAGAACATCCGAGCACGACCGGGGGCGGGTCGGTTCCAAGTTTCATTGCAAGTGTTGCGAAGCATTCGTGAATCGCGAGCGGATCCTCTTGGCATCCCAGGCGGCGTGCCCCTAATTAGGCCCGCCCCCAGCTCGGCATCGCCCCTCTCGTCGGGCGGCGTGCGCTGGGGGTCCAGGTCACGCACGATCTTCACACCGTTCAGCACTGGGGGGGGGGGGGCAATATGATTTAAACGTTTTGTCCCAGGCGCGGTCGTTCAGCAACGACTGACCCCCGGTGTTCGCTTGGTTTCTGCTCGCAGCCCCCTCGCGGCGAAGGGGAAGCAGAACTTCGCTCGCATCCAGAATGGGGAGTACCCCCACCCCAACGGACCGCCGAAGTCGGTCCGAGCTGCAGCCCTCGTCGATCTGCAGCGCTAATTGCCGGATTCCTCGACGTTCGGCGACGTTCATCTCATAGTTCCTATAGTTCCTCCTCCTCTTCCTCCTCCTCCGTGGCCATTTTGGCTCGAGCCAGCCTCGAGCCCCCTGGTCGCCATTTCCCCCCCGCATGGCCGGTCCGCAGCGCGGCGTTGCAGGGTCTTGACGGGGCTTGGGATGGCGCGGGGGGGGGTCGCCCTCTGACGATCCCGGCGTGTGTCTACGTCGTTCGAGGGCGCAGCGCTCGGCTGCGCAGCGACGGGCCCGCGCCGCTGCGGACTGCGGCGCTGCCGTGGCCCGTTCCGAAGTGGAGCAGCTGAAGGCCAAGGTCGAGCTGCCACAGCATTCTCGCACGGCCGATGCTTGCGCGCAGCAGGCCATCGACGCCCTATCTCCACCTCCCGAAGTTTGCGATGAGCTCGCCCAACGGCTATACGGTCGCTCGGGGCGGCACTACTGGTTCATGCGCAGCTGGATGCGGGCCTGGGGGCGCACTCTCACAGGCTAGGGGGCGCGATGCGCTCTGTTGAGCAGCTCCTCGACGTTCACCCCGAGATCTCGGCGCACTGGCGCGGCATCAGAGTGGCGGCCGACAGGGCACGTCACGAGCCGCTGGTGGCGGAGTTTGTGGGCGACGCAGAGCAGAAGCAGGATCTCGCCCCCGTCGCGCAGGCGCTGGAGGTAGTGGAGCAGGCGGTCAAGCCCAGGGAGCATGCCGCTGCGCTGCCAAGTGGGACCACGGCGCTTGGCACGAGGTGCACACGTGGCGCGCTGGCTTTCTCGTCGCGCGCTGGGCCTGCAGCTGGCGCGCCGCGCGGGGCGGGGGCGCCTCGGCTCACGGTGAAAAAGCACTTCGAGTCCAGGTCCGACGCGGAATGCTTCGCGCCGCTTGAGGAGCTCAACCTGCGGGCGGTCGTCTTTCGCAGAGTGAGTGGATCGGCGCCGGGCCAAGGGGCAGCCTTTTGCTCGCCGCCGCGCGCGCCTCGACGCCCACGCCTCCCGCGGCAGAGGCGCTGATCAACAAGACCCTTCAGGCGCGGATCCCAAGGCCGACGCGGTCTGGGCAGCTGAGCGGGAGAGGCTTTTGCGAGACGTCGATGTTCTACGGTTTCTCGTGGGCTACGTCGTGTTTCTCGGCCTGCTACTTCTGATACTTCCCAGAGCACCGACCTCGCCCCATTGTTCCGCAATCTCGGCGAGACCACGGCTACAGTGGTTGGAGCAGCGCCGATACCTGCTCCACCTGCCGCCCATCCTGTCGATGGTTGCAAGCAGCCGTGAGGTATTGAGTGGAGTCCTGCACGTACGTGTTTCGATTCATTCAATATTTGGAGTGCGGAGGTCTCCAGGTTTCTGGCTGGCGTGGGGGCTCTTCGTCGCGGCGTTCATCCACGTCGTCGCCTTCTCCGTGGAGCTCAGAGAGGGGGGCCCAACTATTTGTAAGACTGTTGTCTTGGCGGTATTCCTGGTGTTCCTCCTCCTCCTCCTCCTCTACCTGGCCTCCGTTGCTGGGCAGTTGTGCGGCGCCTACGTCGACATCAACGGGGGCGAGCTCATGGCGGTGATCATGGCGCTGCGGTTCAGCATGGGCGTGGTCACGCTGGTGGTCGACTCGAAGTACGTGTACGACGGCTTCTACAAGGCGGGTCGCACGAACACTGCCGCCTACGCGTACTCCTGGGCGCACCTGTGGCGGCTGGCGTGGGCCCTGGTGGACGACAGAGGAGGGCTTGGTCGCGCAGTGCACCTCCGATGGGCCCCTGCCCACCGCACCAGGAGGCAGGTCGTGGACGGCGCCATCAGCTACCGCGACTGGAAGGGCAACTCGTACGCCGACGCAGCTGCGAAGGCGGCGGCTGCCCAGGGCCGTGCCTCGGCCGCCGATCGCCGCAAGCTGCACCTGGCTCGGCAGCAGGTGGACTTGGTGGCCATGTGGTGCACTGCGGTCGGCACATGGGTGGATGGCAGCGACACCACCCATCGCAAGGAGCGGCCGAAGAGGGCGGTTCGGCGGCGCCGTGAAGCCTCCGCGTGGCTGAGCTGCAGCTGGCGCGGGAAGGGCAAGGACAGATGGTGTGAGGTCTGCAGGTGGACCAACCGCGCTGGCGAGTGCCCTGGCAGCATCCTGGAGGACGCGGTGAAGGCCAACGAGCTGCTGGTGCAGAAGGGGCTCGCGGCGCACGACCTGGTCGCCATCGCTCCTGTGCTGGACAGCGAGCTGGAGCGGAGGTTGCCGTTGGTCGCATGCACCAGGTGCGGGTTCACTGGAGCCGCTCGCGCCTGCAGCTTCGGGCTGGAGTGCAAGACGCCGCCCTCGGCCGCGGGCAGCGCGGCTATCGCGCGCCTGCGTGCTGGGCTCGCGCCCAGGATCGCGAGCGAGGTTGCCGTCACGCTGCGGCGCCTTGGCGGTGGCGAGCCGACGGCAGCAGCAGAGGAGGTGGGCGCTGGCCCCGCCCCTCCTCCCGCCGAGCCCATCAGTGGGAGCCCCGTCGCTCGTGGCGAGGACGGTGGCCAGAGCGTGCCACCTATGAGAGGTGAGGACTGGGGCTCTGAGGCGGCGGAGGGCGTCAGAGGCGGCGACGGCGCTGGAGGTGAGGACTGGTGCGCCGCTGGAGCAGCTGCAGAGGCCGCGGCGACCCCCACGACCCCTGGGGAGGGCGAGGCCGATGGGGAAGGCCGAAGGGACGCCAGCGGCCCAAGAGGAGTGGAAGGGCCGCCAGCGCGGCGCCACCAGGGGCCTCCGCCGCGGGCTCACCGCCCTGCGGGCGGGGGCGAGGACGAGGGCGCGGACTCTGCTGAGGCGGCAGAGAGCGGCCCAAGAGGGGTGGAAGAGCCGCCAGTGCGGCGCCACCAGGGGCCCCTGCCGCGGGCTCACCGCCCTGCTGGCGGGGGCGAGGAGGGAGAGGGAGCGGCCGCGGGCTCTGCGGAGGCGGCGGAGGCAGCGCGGCGGAGCTCCGTGGTCGCCTCGCTCCTGGCCGCCTACCGCCGCGGCTGTGACGCGGCGGGGCTGAGCGACGGCGCTGCTGCGCGTACGCCCCGCACTTGAGGCCCCCAGGGGGCCAAGCCAGGCGGGGCTGCTGGACTCGCCTCGGACCCTGGCGGCGGGGGGCCCCGTGTGGCCTCCGTGGCTCCCGTGCCTGTGGGTGCCGCCAGGCCCGAGGGCCTGGGGTGAGTGCGGCCGTCTAGGACCCCGCTTGCGGGGTGCTAGGGGCGGTCGCACTCACGCGGCGGGGGGGCCTCGTCGCCACTGCGGCCTCGCGTGGGGCGCGAGGTCGCGCTCGGGGCGGTCCTGGCTCGACTGGACCGCTCTATGCCGCGCCGATCCTCCTCCTCCTCCTCCTCCTCCTCCTCCTCCTCCTCCTCCTCCCCTGCGTTGCTCCCCCTCCTCCGTTCGTCCGAGCCAATGGCCGACCCAATGGATGACCCGCATCCAGCATCGGCCACGCGCGGAGGGTGCAGGGGGGGGAGGCTTCTTCGAATCACCCCTGTTTCTTAGAAGGCGCGGGCCCCCGTCTGCAGATGCAGGGCAAGCGCCCGGTAAGAAGCAGCCTCCTCCCGAGAAGGGTTTCCCCCCTCTCCCTGCCCCGGGTTCCAGGCTTGGGACCTCGACAAGGCCCACGTCGACTCATCCGACTCGGTTCGATTCCGATCCGCTTCGATGTCGGATTCCGACTTTGACTTGGGTGTCCCCATGGAGGTCTCACTAGCTTGCCGATTTCTGTCGGTTCGACTTCTCCCGACTCGGCTGCCGACTTAGCTCCAGAGTTCTGGACCTTGAGGTTGGAATCGGCTAGGGGTCTGAAGCGGCCCAGCACTGGTTCCAGCCAGCAGAAAAGGGGGGGGCGAGGTTCTGGCTTCGGGAACGACTTCTTTCGCTTTCAGCCTCCGGGGGCCGTTCATGTTGGGAGCCCTGGCAGCGTCAAAAACGGAGCTGGTGTGAAATACTGCACCAGATGGAACGGGTGACCGATTCCGTGCGAGTTTGCCTTCACGGCAGATCCTCGCGAGGTCCATCCAGCTCAGGCACCCCCAGCCGCCTCCAGCCGCAGGTCCTCCCCGACGGGCGGCCAGCTGCAGGCCGAGTCTTGCCCGGTGGCGCGCAGGGGCAGCCCAGCATCTGCCGCGCCGTGGGGGGCACGCGGCGGTGCCCGCGGCGGGACTTGTCGCCACGCCGTGGCGAAGATGTGGACTGCCTGACTGCACTTGGGTCGGGCATGCCCCTCTGCAGGAGGAATCTTCCAAGATATTCGAAAATAGTACGGGGCCGATGTTTCCACTGTGCTTGAGCATGTTTGGGGTATTTTTCGCCCAAAATCCGCCTGTAGGAGGACATGCCCGACCTGAGACTGCACAGGCCACCCGTCATCTGCTTCTCGATGAATCCAGCCGCAGATCTCCGACGACCCGCGTTTTTTGATCAGGTCGCTCTTCCTCGGTTTCGGCCTCTGGGGCGTGTCGTCGGGCCCACGGCCATCAAAAAAGGATCCAGGACAAAAAACCTCCCGCCTGGAAAGCGTTCGAGACCCCTTTCGGGCCGCAGATTGAAAAGCAAATCACATCGGCGGAGGTCTGCGTCAGTCGTCGGCGCCGCGCCCAGGGGGAGCAGGGGGGAGGGGGGAGGGTTTCTCAGAGGGCACTGTGCTTCTTAGAAGCCCTCGGAGGGCCTGTAAGAAGCAACCTGCCTTCTGAGAAGCACTCCTCCCTCCCCTCGCCCCCCCCATTCGGCGCGCCGCCGAAGTCAGCGGCGCGCACCAGAGTGAGCGACGCGAGGGGGGCGGGGCCTCCCAGATGCCAGGGGGAGGCTTCTTTCAAGGGGGAAAACCGCCCGGACCCGATTACCCGCGTTTGCTCAACGTCTCTGGGTGTTTACTAAGCAGTCCTGCCCTGTTCGGTTCTACCCGCGTTTGCTCAACGGCCCGCGGTGTTTACTGAGCAGTCCTGCCCTGTTCGGTGCCTTTGCTAAACAGCCTCGCGTGTCGGGGTGATCGACGTGGATGTCCTGCCCTCCGTTCTTGGGAGGCAGGAGCCTCTCTGCAGGAGGGCCCGGCCCCACCCCAACTGGTGAGGCGCACGCGCTTGGGCCGGGCACCTCCTCTCGAGGCGTTGGGCGCCGCCGCGCGGCGCCACGACCGGGGAGCGCGCGGCGCGCAGAGACCAGAACCGAGAAGCCGCAAAAGCAAAAGCTAGCGAGAACGCCGAGAAGGAGGCCTCCGGGAAGCCAGCGGGGCTTCTGCGGAGCCCGCCTGCCTGCGCAGGGGCCCCCCCGCCTTCTCCCGAGGCCTTCGAGGGGAGCGGCGCCAAGAGGCGGGTTCGACCGCGCCGATGTTGCCGCGCACGTTGCCTGGGCAAGGTCGCGCGCAAGCGCGCCCTTGTCTCCGGTGTAGCGCGCCGCGCTCGCAGCCCGCGTAAGACTCCTCTCCGATCGTCCCCAGATTGGGTAGGAGCAGATGGGGCCGGAGGATCGCGCCGCATCGCCGATGCATCGGCGATGCGACTCGATGCGAAGCCCGATATTCTCCCTGCCTGCGCAGAAACTCCCCGCGTTCTCTTTCGAGTCGAAGAAGACAAACGGCATAGGCATTAACTGTCGGAGCTCCGCGTGGATTTCTCGGGGGCGGCGCCAGAGTCCAGTGGCGGCGCCTCCAGCGCCGTCTCTGGCGCGCTCCACGCGCAAGGGAGGGGGGTCCAGCGCAGATCCAAGAAATCCGCGCGGAGCTCCGAAAGTGAGTACACTTGTTTCTCCTCTACGGAACCCTCTCGCCTTCTCTCCAGACCTCCGAGATGAGGTCAGAGTAGATGGGGCAAGAGGATCGCGCCGCTTCGACGATGCATTGGCGACGTCGGTGATGCATCGTCGCCGTCGGCACGGAGAAGACGAAAACCGTTGGAGCTCCGCGCGGTTGCCAGGAAGGGGTCCTCTGGCGCGATGTGCGCGCCGGGGCGGGGGGGTCCAGCGCCGATCGAAGAAGCCCGCGCGGACCTCCGAATGCTGATGTAAAAGACGAGGCTCCCAAGCAAGACATTCAGTCGGACCTCGAGGTCGGTTCTGCCAGGTTCCCTCATCTTCCCCGTGTTCTTTGGATGTTCTGGTGCATCCTGGGGAGGGTACACTCAGATGTCCTGTTCGCTCTGGCCGACGGAGGGTCTCATGTTCTCGAGGGACGTTATTGTGGCCTGGGTCCGAGCGTATACGATCACGCTGAAATGCAGAGATCGGTGATTTGTTGTAGCTCCTGGATCCTCTGACAAAAGACTCTCTCGGTGACAACGCCCGTGGCGCCCACGGCGCCCGCCGAGGCCCTGATCGCCGAGGGCTCGGGCTCGTCGCCGGCAACTCCTTGCGGGTCTCGGCAGACTCGGCGCTGCTCTGCTGAGGCTCGCACGGTATCGGCATGCGCTGCCGCACCGGTGAGTTGAGGGAGGAAGAGAAGGAGGAAAAGGGGGAGGAGGAAGAGGGGGAGGAGGAGGGGGAGGAGGAGGAGGACGAGGAGGAGGAGGAGAAGGAGGAGGTGGAGGAGGGGGAAGGGAGTCAGAAGAGGAGGATGGGAAAGGGACGGGGGAGGAACGGGGGCAAGTGGGAGGGAAAGGGGGAGGGGGAGAGGGAGGGGGATGAGTTGGAGGAGAGCTTCGAGGGGGAGGAGGAAAAGTTCCAGGAGGGGGAGGAGGAGGTGGAAGCGGAGGAGGAGAGGACGGAGGAGGAGGCGGGAGAGGACCAGGAGGAAGGGACCGGGAAGGGGTGGGGAGGCGGGCACGGCGGGAGGGCCCCTCTCCACCGCGAGCCCTTTGCGAGGACCACGCGGTGCCGAAGGACTCGTACTACCTGGTGCGCATCCTGGAGTTCGTGCTGATGTGGGTGCTGATCGTCTACAACCAGGACCGCAGACACGCTGGCGGCGATGCGAGCAACGGCGATGTAGGTTCAGGCAATTATTGTCGGCGGGGGTGTCGCGGCCAACCCAATTGTAGCAAGGGCTCTGCGCGAGGTCGGCGTCATAAAAAAACATATTCCCAACATCGCCGTTCACCAGCATCGAGGCCAGCGTGGCCTTGGCAGGACCTGGAAAGAGGAGGAAGACCGACGCTGGAGGGTCGAGGAAGGAGGAGGATCGGGGAGGATCGAGGCGGGAGGAGGAGGGAGGAGGAGTAGGAGAAACGAAGAAGAAACATAGCATAAACAAAAGATACGAAGGTCCGCTCAGATGTCTGCAAAGAAAAACAATTCTGAAACACGGGCGGACACTCTCGGATGCAACGGCGCTGGGTCCCCCTGGCGGCGCTTCCAGCGCCGCCCCTGGCGCGCTCTGCGCGCCGGGGAGGGGTGTCCAGCGCTGATCCATTGAATCTGCTCGCACCTCTCAAAGTGTATATCATATATATATATATACATATTTGTGGTTTCTTTTCAAGTGCGATCGATCGAGGACCGATACAGCATCTGTATAAACGTACATATATATATATATATATATACACAGATATCGGTTGCCCCTGGCCAGGCCCATCCTGGGCCCAAAAGGCCGTGCGTAGATGCTTCCCTCGCCCAGCCAGGAGCGCGTGGGCACCGCTCCTGGGCCCGGGACGGGCCTGGCCAGGGGCAGCGGATGTGCACAGATCCCGTCGCCTTCGAACGAGCTGCAAGCTGGCCGAGTCCCACACGGCGTGGTCGACTCTGGGTCTCGTCGCCCTAGAGCGAGGCGATGTGCAAACTGGCCGAGTCCCACGCGGCGTAGCGAGTGGTTGGTCACATTGGGTGTTGTTGCCCTAGATCGGCGGCGAGCGGGGGGGGGAATGGGAAGGAGAAGGCGGCGGGACTTCTCAGAAGCCCTCGCGCCTTCTGAGAGGCCTTCTGTGTCTTCGGGGAAGGCCTCGAGAACTTCTCGGAAGGCCAGGGGACTTCCGAGCCTTCTGAGAAGGCCCGGCCTCTCTCACTCCGCCTCCCTTGCTCGCCGCCGACCAGGCCTCGTCGCCCTGGAAGTCGTCGCCCGCGAACGAGCTGCAAGCTGGCCGAGTCCCAGACGGCGTTGCGAGTGGTCGGTCGCCCTAGATCTCGTCGCCCTGGGTCCCGTCGCCCCAGATCCTGGGCATCGTTCGGACATGTGCGCTGTGCCTCGGCGAGGTGGAATCACCGTGCGGAAAGCAGCGCGAGAGCGACAAAATGCACGGGGAATGGGCGTCCGAGCGATGGCGAGGATCGCGTCGCCCTCGGGCGGGGCGATGTGCGAACTGGCCGAGTCCCACACGGCGCGGCGAGCGGCTGGCTGCGCCAGGGAGAGCGAGCGCAGGGGAGAGAGCACCCGGAGCGGGCGGGCGGGCGAGCCGCGCGCGCGGCGCACGCAGGGCCTGTCCTGGGGGGGGGGAAGGCTCCCCGGGGGCAGTTTTGGGCCCGCGTTCCCTCGGGGCCCAGGGGAGGGGGGGGGGGAGGGGGTATGCTCAAGTCGGGCCTGTCCCTCCACGGGAGGAACACTCAAACATAGTAACAAACTGTCTGGGGACGATGTTTTGAATATTTCTTGGCTCTGTTTGAGCATGTCTTGACCATTTTAGATTTTTTCCTCCAGAATCCGCCTGTAGGGGGACATGCCCGACCTAGGGGTATGCGGGGCGGGCCCTCCTGCCAGCCTTCGAGCAGGGTGCTCCTCGAAGCTGCACAAGTACGCAGAGTGTCCGTAGATCTGCGAGCATTCGACGTATTGCTTCGCAGATTCGGCGGGCAAGCAAATCTGGGGTACATCAATAATGTAGTCGATCTCCTTCTCGAAGCCTCCTTCGCACATCGTCTGCAGCCAGAATCTGTGAAGGCCCGGGGACTGAAGGGGACGATCGAAATCCACTCAGAAATTAAGAGGGGGACAGAGACCTGCAGCAATTCCTGCCCATTCTGAACAGGACTCGCTGCCAGCGTCGCCGCGGACGAGACAAAAAGTCGGTCGCCCAAGAGCAACAGCTTTTGGCTGGGGGCAAGATAGGGCCCCCATCTCCTTCCCCCCATCCATCTCCTGCTCCTCCTCCCCCTCCTCATCCTCCTCAACTTACCCCTCCGCAACTTCCTCCTCCTCCTCCTCCTCCATCTCCTGCTCGTCCTCAATTTACTCCTCCTCCTCCTCCTCCTCCTCCTCCTGCTCCTCCTCCTCCATCTCCTGCTCGTCTTCCTCCCCCTACTCATCCTCCTTCCTTCCTCCTCCTCCTCCCTCCTCCTCCTCCTCCTCCTCCTCCTCCTCCTCCTCCATCTCCTGCTCGTCTTCCGCCCCCTCCTCCTCCTCCTCCTCCTCCTCCTCCTCCTCCTCCTCCTCCTCCTCCTCCTCCTCCATCTCCTGCTCGTCCTCCCCCTCCTCCTCCTCCAGGGGAGGGAGAGCGGGCCCTCCCACGCCTCTTCCGCGGCTCGTCTTCACCAAGAGCCAGGCAGTGCCTGGCGTGGGCATTGGAGGAGGAGGAGGAGGCGGAGGAGGAGGAGGAGGAGGAGGAGGAGCACGAGGAGCAGGAGGAGGAGGAAGAGGAGGAGGAGGAGGAGCCTGGCGTGGGCCTGGCAGAGCCACGCCCACGCTCACACAGGAGCCTGGGGATTGCAGGACAGCGCATGGGTTTAAGTGGAATGAGGGAGGCAGGGGCTTCGGGTACGATGGGGACGATGAACATATCAGAGGCGATGCAGAATTCCGCGAGTTCGTCTGGTTAGGGTAGGCCGTGCTTGCACGACCTGTTCTTGCATTTTTTCAAGCGTTTCACAGGAGCGTGGCACTGTTTCAAAGCCAATGTCGGGATGTGCCATTTTGCCGCATCAAGTCGGTGTTGTGACAGAGGCACGGTTCGCAATCAAGGCGTCCTGAAGGTTTGAGTCGTTGTCAGGCGTCTTGGGCCTTCCACGGGCCCCGGGGTTGTCCAAAAACTGTTCAGGATGAAACATTCGGCCCGGGGACAAGCCACCGGGGTCCAGGGCCCCTTTCCGTCAGTACCCGCTCTGTCATGTCAAAGTTTGCCCGGAAGGCCTACCGTTCATGTGTTGCCCATTCGTTTGTCTTTTCTGGGAGTTCTGGATCTGCCTATGTCCACACATCGCCACGTCGGCATGTGCAAGATTAGGCAGCCACAAGCCTGTTCGTGCCTGCCTGGCACTACAGCTTGCTGACGTAGCCGTCGCCTCGGGTCGTGACCGGACCACATTGGTGAAGTGTTGATGGTCATCTTTGGTCGGGAGCGAAAGAAGGACGTACACGTACATGAATCCACGCTGGTGTCGAGATTACGTATTGCGTGAATGTTCGTATCACGCGGCGGGTCTCGCGGATCGAGGGGCCGTGTTCATGTACATAGTTGGGCGCGTACGTCCTTCGTGGGCTCCTTATCTCGGGGGCAACGATAGGGGGGATAGGCATAGGGATAGAGGGAGAGTAGTATTCATATTGAGTAATTGTGGAGGAGGATGAGGAGGAGGAGGAGGAGGACGAGGAGGAGGAGGAGGAGGATAGGCATAGGGGGGGATGCAGCGACCCCCAATCGCCCATGAATCGCCGACAGGGGCCCGATAGCCCCAACCCGCCCAGGAAGGTGCGGATTCACGATCGGAGGCCTACCGCCGATCTGTCGGCGATGTATCGCCGACTCCTGATCGATGCATCCCCCCCTATGCCAGCCCCCCCTGTCGTTCCCCCTCCTTATCTGGGAGTCTTGGATCGGCCCACTCTCCTTGCCCCTCTTGGTGTTTCCTCGTCCTTTGTGGGATCCCTATCTGGGAATCCCTCCTCCCCTCCTCCTCCTCCTCCTCCTCCTCCTCCTCCTCCTCCTCCTCCTCCTCCTCCTCCTCCTCCTCCTCCTCCTCCTCCTCCTCCTTCGGCCCATCCCCGCGGGGCCGTTGTCGGCATCTGCAGGGCCCGGCCGGCCTGCGCAGACCCTGTCTGTGCGCGCCTGCCTGGCGCCACGGCTCGCCGACGTGGCCAGCGCCCTGGGGCGGGGAAGGGTCGTTTTCGCGTTGCGCTCGCGTGGGTCGAGGCGTTTCGCAGAGGCGAACAGTGTTGCGTTCGTGTGGTCAAGGCGTTTCACAGCGCCCTGGATGTTCGTGGCCGTACCAGGTGGGCCGCCCCGGCGGCGCCTCTGGCGCGCGCCGCGCGCCAGGGAGGGGGGTCCCAGCGCGGATCCAAGAGATCCGCGCTGAGCGCCAAAAGGTTATGTTTATGCCGTTGTTTCTTCGTCTAGGACGGGCGCATTCCTGCAGCGCCGCGTCGACACTTGAAGGCAGGCAGCCAGCGCAGACCTGTTTGTGCCTGCCTGGCGCGGCGGCTTGCTCACACAGCCAGCGCCTTGGATGTTCGTGGCCGTACCAGGACGAGCGAGAGGACCTCCTGCGGGAATGAGCCACTTCGGAGGCCATTTGCTCGGAGGGTTCGGTGAAGGCTCACACAAAGATGGACCATACAATGCTGAGCAGGGGCGAGGTGCCAGGACGAACATTCGTATTTGGTGTGCTGGCTGCTAGTTTGAATCAGCCGTGCCGCTGTGAATCCATGCAGGGCTGCGAAACTACAAGGAGCTTGTACAACGTGCACATCTGTCACGTGTCGTAGCTTGCTGCGCATTCCGCGAGAATTCTGCGAAGATGTGGTGGGGGTGGAGGGTGCGATTAGAACCGGTACCCGTGGCCAGTCGTTCGATGTATGCATTCTGAAGCTTAAGCATTTTTGGGCAATCAAATCCCGAACAATGTGGTCATTGGCATGCGGAGTCTTTGTCGCGTTGCGTTCGTGTGGTCAAGGCGTTTCGTAGAGGCACGTTGGCTGCGCTGCCCGCTTGTTGGTCCTCTCTGGGAACCCTGGATTGGCCCATTTCTGTAGCGCCACATCGGCAATTGCAGGCTTGGTCAGCCAGCGCAGACCTGTTTGTGCTTGCC